GTTTTGGGTTTGCTCCAAAGCAGCCTGTTAACTGTGGCACTGCCTGGGCTGCTGCCCCTCTGCCATCCCAGGCCCAGTGCACCCCGACTCTCCAGCCAAGCAATCAGGCAAACACCAGTCAGAGCTAAAGTGGCAGCACAGGGAGAATTGGAGCCACGCTCGGCAGCAAATTAGACATTTAAAAACTGAGGAGAGTGACTGGTGAAGATTAAATGTGTTATAGATTTGCTGGAGGAGAGGCGAGAGAAGCAAAGGTGGATCATTGACACCCCTCAGGCAACTGGGTGAAGATTTGTTTATGTGCTGGTGCGTAATCAAGTGGGAATGAATGCAAGACACGGGGCCTTAATTTTTCATTTGCAATCAAGGCCACGTACACACCTTTTCTTAGTCACAGAAAAACACTGCCACGCTCCCTGTCCCTGCTCAGCAGCATTACCCAGAGAAGGGACAATTACCAGGAATAATCGGGCTGATTGAGGACGGGAGCACTGGGGGAGGGAACACTCCGGGGTTGCACAGGGAAAGGCTGCCTGGCCAGTGGGTGTGGGAAAGAGCCTGGATCCTGGCAGGTCCCGGTCACTGCTGGAGCAATGCTCCAGGCACCATGTCCCCCCCGGCTGGGAGCAGGTTACCTTTGGTGGGACACACGTTAGCTGTTTGGGAGCATCACCTGCATGGGAACATGGGGCTGGATGAGGTCCCTGGGGTGCTGTGACTGGGCTGGAGCTTGTTCCCGTTTTAAGAGGCTGTTTTTTGATGCTGGGGAAAAAAAAGAAATCATCAGAGGCCGTGTGAAATCTCACACTTGACCTGTGGCTCTGCCAGACTCGTTGAAAGGACTCTCAGAAGAAGTGCTAATGCCAGAGTCCAGTCTGGGAAATGTGGAAGAGCTGAGAAACATGAATGCCCAAGGCACAGCATGGACAAGGGGCACATCCAAGGAGGATGATGTTGGAGCAAGCTGTGCCCCTGCAAGGGGGCGTGGGGCAGCACCTCCCATCCTGGCAATGGACACAGGGAGCAGGTACAGAGAGTGGAAAGCTGACCACGGGCACAGAAAACAGCAGAGAGGAGATGGAACAGAGAAGGGGGCAAAGGAACGAGGGAAGAAAACAACACGGAGTGTCAGGGCTGGAGATTACCTTTTCCATCTCATTGAGATTCCCGTGCAGGTCCCATTCTGAGGAGCTGCTGCCAACCTGTCGCAGCTGTGGTGCTCAGAGGCAGTGAGGTGCTGGCCCCGAGGGAGGCTGAGAGCAGAGAACAGAGGAGAGAGGAGGGCATCTGATCAAATATTCCCTTTACTCCTGGCAGCCTTCACATCTCCCGCTTGCTGGCTCCGTGCGTGCCCGCTCCCGGTGTGCTCCGGCGGGTGAGGTGCCGCCGGCGCCGCTTGTTGCAGCAAGGAGGGAGCTGTGAGGGCTCCCGGGAGGGGTGGTGGTGCTGTGATGGATGCTTAATCTGGAGTATCCGAGCCGAGGGCTCAGCACCCCAGAAGTGACATGTACCAACCACCCCCTGGCTGCACAGGCACCACTGCAGCAAGGGAACCCCGCTTTTGGGCAGTTTGTTGAGGAAGAGGAGGGGATCCTGCCCACTCCAAAGGATGATGAGAGCCAGCACTTGAGAACTTGGGAAGATGTGAAGGACAACACTGGTACTGTTGGGATACAAAGCAGGAAAACAGGATTTCCAGGATTTCTCCAGGGACAGGGCACAAGGGCAGCTCTGCCAGGTACCATGCGGAGTGAAGCAGGGAGGCAGACGTGGGTCTGGCTCACAGCACAGTCCTAAGACAGAAACAAAACCTCCCAGGGCTGCCAAATCCCTTTGCTCTTCTGAAGGGGCTCTGTTCCCCTGGCACTGGGGGGGCAGAGTGTCCCCCAAACCACGCTCAGGCTGCCCAGCACCCGGACATTGCTCACCTTGGACTGCAGAGCTGAGGGACTGCTGAACGGCATCTCTCCATACCCTTCCTATCTCTATTCTGCATCCCTGTTCCATCTGTACGTGTTATTCCTATGCTGCCCACATCACTCCAGGTCTGTGACTTACAGGGCTGCTGCTATCCTGCAGAACAGGATAAGGAACTGGAGCAGGAGAACACGGCTATGGGCAGATAGGCAGAGGCACACGGGTTAGAGCTGATATTAAAGTAGCTCAGCCTGGGCTGACAGGGAAAATGGATGGAGAGCTCCACAGGCAGCACTGGCACCTCGGTGTGAGGCTCCGACAAGTCCTTCTGAGCAGAGAGTGGGGGTCTGTCAGTCCATCCACCTCTGGTGACAGAGGGAGAGGATGAGCCCAGAGGGGTGAGCAAGGAGCAGACCTGACACCGGACAGGGAGACATCCTACTGGGTCCAGGAGTGGATCCATCTGCTTGGCACCCTCTGGCAGAAAAGGGCTGCAGGAGCTGGTGATGTCCTCCCTCACAGCAGCTCCAAGGGGTCTCTCTCCAGGACAGCCTCTGCTGAGAAGGATGGCTGAGCTCTTATCCTGCTTCTCACAGGCTCCAGCAGCACAACTGGTCCTCAGCTGGCCTTCAGTCAGTTACTTCAGCAGTTTGCTTATTTAACTCGAGCTCTTTATTGCACTTAAGTTTTGTTTATTCTCCTAAAGTTTATTTTCTTCACTTAAAGTTTATTTTTCCACCTAGAATCTGTTTGTTTACCCAAAGTCTGTTTATTTAACTGCAGCTCACCAAGGAGCTCGTCAGTTTGCAGCCCAGTGCAGGGTGTGCAGAGCTCTGTCCATCTGCAGAATCACTTTTCCTGCACCTCCCCAGAGACCCCATTAAGCCCTTGCCCTGCTCACCGTGTACACAGGTTTCCAGGAGAGACCTCGAGGTGCTGCAGGGATCACCTCCACAGCTGACTCTGGAAACAGGACAAGGCCAGTTTAAACTCTTAGTGACCAGTAGACTGAAATTCTTTTCCTGGTTGTCCTAATTCAGATGTAAATTATTAGCCCAAGTGCTGGGTTTTAGGTGGAATTTGGGTTTTCCCCTTCACTGAAATTATTACATCCAGATAAAGCTGCTGGGACCCAGTGCTGGGGACACACAGGTGCCCCCGCCCGATCGATGCCACCCGGAGCAGATGTTATCCCAGGCGGCACAACACCGGCCGCTGCCTGGAAAATGGGATTGGATCTTCAGAAAAAGCTATTAGCCCCTTGTCAGGACCCTCTGATGAGAACTGACTGGCCGGCGCGGATCGATGCTGCCAGACGCGTGCTCAGCCTCGTCCCTGCTCCCGTGTATTCCAATCACCCACCCAGGACCAGGTACCTGCTACCTGATGTGAGTCACAGTGTCATTTATGGCTAATTACTCCACGTGGCACAAGCTTTTTGGCAACTTCAGCCTGGCAGAAAAGGCTGTAATTACACAAGTCAGACTCAGTTACTCAAAATAATTCCTCCCTGTATTTGGTTAAAAAAAGAAGAAAATTAGGAATTGTATTACCCAATAAAATAATTGTGCAATTAGGACTTCTGCAACTTTTGAAAATGCAAAGTTCAGGGCAAAGACTACATTCTTATTTGAAGTAATGATAATTTTCTTCATTTTCATGAAAACCTGACAGTGTCCTCAGGTCTGTGTAACGGGACAGCCTCAGCAGCCATGGGGTCACATCTGTGGGGAACGTGTGCAGCATCCCAAGCTGAACACTTGGGATATGGGAATCATTAAGTCTTATTGCTCAGTGTTACTCTTTCCAGCTTTCCCCATCCATGTTTTTGTATCTCAGGGTCTGAAAGTTAATGCAGAGGGTTTCAACAGGAAACTGATCCTGCACACTACAGGCACAGTTTCTTGTCACCCATTTGTAATGTGCAAAAGCAAAGGACCAAGTAGGAAATGGGAAGAAAAGCACCACTAAATAACCTTAAAACCCTGAAAGATATGGACCCCTGAGAGGATAAATTACAGACACTGCAAGTGTGAGACACAATTAGCGCTGGCTCGAGGAGAAGAAAAGCATCGTGAGCCGGCACCAGGGGCCTGCAAGTCTCAAACCTCTTCTGCATTGAAATAATTGCAATAGCCATGGAAACCATCAAAGCCGTGCTGCTCATTTCGGGTAAGAAAGGGGAGAGCTGCTTTTTTGGCTTTGCCCTGCAGTTTTCCCCTCAGCGTCACAATCTCTCTGTAAGAAAAACGCTGTTTCTGACACGATCACATGAGAAGCACCGAGTGCTCCGGAGCTGGACACCTTAGCTGGACACTGGACCCTGGAGCAGCAGCAGCCGCCGCCTCCGGCGCCCACGTGGCTCCTCCTGCGTGCTGGGCGCGAGCGGACGTTCTGGCAGCGTGTCCCTTGGTACCATCTCCTTGGAAAGCAATTGTCTTTCTCCTCCTCCTTTGTGCAAAACACAAAAGATTGATGGTTCTAATTTCAGCGCCGCAGCTGCCTCGCAGCCCAGTTCCGGGGGCCAGCGGAGGGAAGGGCTGGAGGAGGAGGCGCTGCCGCCATCGACAGCGGCCTGAGCCCGGGAGAGGCAAAGGGATCCTTCCCGGCAGCACCTGTTGGAGTTTGGTGTCTTGAGGAGAACAGACATGGTGTGCTGCAGTTTGGAAATCCCAAGCACTTTTAAGAAAATCTGGCAGCACCAGAACTGAATGGGAGATTGGAACAGGGCAAAGGAGGTCACACATTTCAACACTCACCTTCCACGGCAGGATTTAGACATGTCTGCTATTTAAAGCTTGTGTACCAACCTTCCCCAGCTCGGGAAGGTTGGAATATCAGTGACAGATCAATTTTCTCCACGTAAATACTCTCCAAATAAAACAATTCAGCAACTATAAACAAGAAACTTGTGAAATCTACTCTATATTTAACGCAGCTTCAGTGCATCAGGTTTAACTGCTCTTGCTCCAGGCAGTGCTGGGTGTTACCTGCCCAGCACCAGCTCCTTCTGCCCACGTCAGTGGGTGAGCTCTGATGGTGGTCTCTGTGACAGCCAGGGATAAAGAGTTCAAAACAAGATCTAGTTTTGTAACATTAATTTTTTTTTATTAAGAAGACAGATATTTTTATAGTACTTCTTTTCCTTTGTAAAAATGGGATACATGAACCAATACAAAATGTGAATGGGAACAGATGGATATGTATTTTCTTACACTGTAACATCTTCCATGGACACCTTAAAACAGAACTGGCCTAAGGGGAAAAAATAAAAAGGCCGGGTAAATAAAGAACAAGGTTGTTTATCATCAGTTTCGCGTCCTTCATTTGTGATCCTCCTTTAAACAAGGTTGTTCTTTCTTCACGCTTCAAAATCCTAATGATCTAAAGCTGTACAAAGTAATACTCAACAATACATTTCAACAGTGCACTGTATACTGAAGAAAAAATACATAAACCGATATACAACTAAAATTCATATTTTCCTGTTTTTTTTTCTCCTGTTTTTATGTGGTTTTTTTTTTTTTCCATTTTTTTTCCAATGCGTGGGGCCGAAATTTTTGCAATCTACCTGAGACGGAAAACACCAATCAAACACATGAACCTGAGACATGTCAACATTGTAAGTCAAAGTTACATCGGTAACACTGCACTACGGTACACTTCCAAACAAAGATGGGCTGCTCAAGGCCAGGATGCCCGTCCCGTCCCGCCACCGCCGGGCCACGGAGCCCCCGGCCCCGACCTGGCTGCTTCTCACCGCGATGGGGTTTGGCAATGGTGCTGAGGGCTCAGGACAGAGCTGCGCTCGGCAAAATCTGCTCGGGAAAAAAGGGCGTTTCGCGAGGTTCTGCTCGTGAAGAGAAGGGGAAAGACGGAATACTGCCCGGGAACGGGCTCGCTCGCTGCGTCAGGCCCCGCCCCGTTCCCAAAGGAATCCCGCACTGTAATGATCCTACCAAAAACAACAATTAAAAAACGAACGCACAAAAATGCCCCCCCCGCCCCGAAAACCCCTAAAAAGTCCCCAAAACCTGACGCTAAGATTAATGCTTCCCTTAAATAAATCAGATACATTTGCCACGTAAACACAATTAAAAAAAGTATCGCTCGAAATCCATGATTACTCACCAAAAAAAAGTCAGCATCTATAACTTTATACCGTCCTCCCGCTGCGGTTTGCTACCTGCTGCTTCTGATTCCGACTGAGCCAGAGTCTCCCGTGCACCTATGGCTTTAGTGGTCATTAGCACGCTCGTGTTAACGCGAATTCCCACGTTTTACTTAGCGGGTAGAAAAAAAGGCAGTTTTGTTCATCCAGCTGCTCTCCAGGTCTGGGCTCACACATCAGAGGGGCTTTACCTGCTGCCCCTGCGGCTGCCGAGCAGGAGAGGATGAGGAGATGCCCCTGCGCCCGGGAGGGCTCTGCCTGCCCAGCAAGGAGCCCACTCCTGCGTCCCCGTGGCCGAGCAGCACCTCTGCCGAGCTCCAGCCCATTTCCCAGCCGCCACCATTGAAAGCACCTGAAACAGCCACAAAGAGGGGCTCGGGGGGTGTTACCCGAGCCTTGACGGTGACAGGGGAACGGGACACGGGCACACTGAACTGCAAACTACGCATCTAAAATGTGCTGGTTCTCCTCCGATGAGCTCGAGTTCTGAACGGAAACCGGTGAAGAGAAAAAAGGGGAAACACCTTCAGAGAAACGCACCTACTCCACGGGGTCCCAGCTGGCAACTCCAGAAACAGGAAAGGGGAAACGAAGAGCCACAGAAACCCGAAGGGAACTAACGCACAGAAGCCCCTCTTCTTCCCAGCCTCCCCCCGACCCGAACGAACAGAAATTAAACAAGGCACAGAATCTTCTGCAAATGACTTCACTAAACTAAATCCAAGCTGGACTTGGCCAAAAAAAGAAAACCCAAACGAACTGAGGTGTCGAACAGCAGAGTGTACTTTACGAGGAATATTTTTACACAGCGAATCCCGGACCCTCCCGGCCTCACCGCTCTCCACCCATTTGCTTTTTTTTCCTTAAAAAAAAAAAGACACAAGCTGGTTGCAACTTCCAAGATCACTGTCTCTGTAGCGTTTAAATAGGGCCAGTAGTAACCGTCCACGGTTGGACACCTCATGGGAACCAAGGCTGCTCTAGATGAAGTACTCTTTCTTTTCCTCGGAGTTGTTTTGTCCCCCCTCTGCGTTGATGATGGCTGTGTCTGCGTCGGCCGCATCATCTGCTCCTTTGGCTTCATGAGTGAAGTATGTACCTGCAAGGGAAGAGGAGGCTCTGTGACTCCTCCTGAGTCCCGGCACGGTGCCGAGGGAGAGACTGATGAAGGAAACAAAAATGCCACTGGGAGAGAAACTGGGGGGTCTGTTGCATCAGACAGCACAACCTGACGAGGGAGGGGACACACGTGCCAGGCCTCTCACGCTCCAGTTTCAGTCTCTGTCTTACCTTTATGTCTGGCAAAATATCGCCCTAAAATGATGAGTAGGCAAAGCATCGCGAAGACAACGACGGCAACGACGCCGCCAACCACGGCGTGGTCCACGCTCCGAATCGCCCCCTCCTCACCCGCGCGGGAATCTGTCGAGATCAGAAGAGGAATAAGAGTTGGGGACTTACTACGATGCTCTCGGCAGGTCTGGCGGCAGCTGCTCCCAGGACAGGAAGAGCTGCCCTCGGGCTCTCCAGAGGAGCAGGGGTGAAGCACGGAGCTAACTAGACAGATGAGTTCAGGCAGAGGAACTTCGTCCGGAGCCGAACTGATCTGGCAGCTCGACTTGTGAGGTGTTTTCCGCTAAAAGCAGCAGCACTACAACTACACACGTGGGAGACAGCTGGGAGAGGGGAGGGAGGGCACGCGGAGTCATCGGTGGGGACCTGCTCTGGGGAACTTCCCCACAGTGCTCCCCAAATTTCAGCCTCCCTCGCGGGTGGGGCACAGGGAAGAGCAGTGCAATACGGGAGTATTAATATTTAGCTCTGAGAAATGTCATTAACGAGTGCCCTGTTGAAAATATTTCAACTTCAGCCCCAAACACTCCTTGCCCTAAACCCAGCCCACCCAGCACAGAAAATCTGTTTACAACCATCCTCTGCCCCGACTCATCTGGGTTCCACCATTAACCACCACCTTTGCTGTTTGATGCAGCCCATGAGGACACAACACTCTTGACCCAAACTGTAACAGCGACTCTGAGGCCAGCAGTGAACAGTAACTGAACGGTGCCTCCGACTGCTTTACTGCGTTTATTTAACTCCTCACCACACAATTAGTTTCCTTTCAGAAGCGCCTCTCCCTCAAGACGCCGTCACCCGGGAGAGGGATGACTGATGTGGCGGAGGAACAGCTCCGGAATGAACCCCGGATGAGCTATGGCCATGTAAAATGAATGTATAGCAGTGTAAACAATTTTAATTTAAGAACGCAGCTACATCAACCCTCGCTGCAATCCTAATGGCAACTGAGATTTATAACGCAGTAAAAAACAATTATTCTCCCGCTGATTAATACATTAACATTTTGGAATAGAAGCTAAACCATTGTCTCTTTTTTTTAGTGAGTCAAGCGCGACACCTCCATTAAAATGATTTACTGGCCATACCTTACAATTTAAGCACAGCAGCAACAGAAACGGTAAAAATCTTTTAACTTTACATGATTTGTGAAGTCATATGTGAAGGATTTACCATTTAAATCTTTCACTACAAGAAGCACATGGCCCATAAATCTGTCCTGCCTGCACCTGCCTGGACACCTCGGAGAAATGCGTTTTGCCAGGACGACTGAGAGAGCAAATGCAAGTCAATTTTTAAGAAAGATTTATCTCCGTCTCCCTCCAAAGAACAGAGCAAATCTCTGAAGCCTCCACCTCTAATAATATTTGAAGTTTATCGATCAAGCGTACAGATCCGTGACAGCTGAAGGTAATGGGGCTCTTTTGAGCCGAGACCTGATACAAAGCTTTCGAGCAGCAGCTGGGATTTACACTTTCTATCGATATTTCCAATTCTGCTCCAAGATTAAGGACTGAGGGACCCAAGTAAATAATCTGGGACCCAGAGCACCATAAAGCGCCTTTTAATTAAAACAATTTAAGAAAAAAAGCCCCTTCGAGTAACCTCTCGAGAGCAGGAGCTCCAGTGCAGGCAGGGGGATGCTGGGCTGAGCCAGGGCACGGCGAGGGACACCATGGAGTAGGGAGCCCCTTCTACCAGCTTGGCTGAGAAGCTAAAACCAGCTAAAAACTGTGGCCAAAAAAGATTCCCCTGCAAATCAAAAACCTTTGCTGCCACGTGCCATGGCCCTGTGGAGAGACTGTGCCAAGGAATCCAAAAGCAAGGCAAAGGGGAACCTTCTGTCTCACCTGCAGTGGGAACAGACCGTGCTGTGATGGCTTCCAGTGTCTGCTGCTCTGGTGAGCGGCCAAGCATCCCCGCAGGCCGATGGGAAAGGTGCCCACAGAGGCACTGTGGGGTGCCAAGCTGACCCCCTCGCCCAGGCACAGGTTCTGCTGCCTGCCCAGGATGGCAGCGGGGGGAAAACCGGCCACCCTGGGCATCCCGGGAGCTCCCGCTCTGACACAGCCTTCCCACCACTGCTGCAGCTCAGCTAATCCGGCCTCTCTGCACAGCAACTAAACTGGCTCATCTGCTGGAGCAGCTGCTTTAGGCACACTGAATTCCGTTTTTTTCTTATTTTTTTTTTTAGAAACTTTGCACCCAGTTCCGCTCGGCTGCACTCGGCGCAGCCAGCAGCATCCCAGCCTGGGCAGATGAGTGGCTTGTTGACATCTGGAACAGCTGAGGGGCATAAACACACTGAATTATGGCTCTGTAATGTGCTTCCAGCAGGATTTTGCATCAAGAGGCATTTTTTCTTCATCACCATAAATTAAAGTTCTGGAAAGACGAAGCCGTGGTGAGCTCGTGCTGGCAGTGGCGGCTTCCACGCTGTCACACCGACCCACCACCACAGAGACAGGGGCTGTGCCAAAGCCTCGTGCCCAACACATCCCTCAGGTCTTCCCTTAGCACGGCATCACACCGAGAGCACGGAGAGAAGGTTCCCCTGAGAAGGGACTTCGGCCTAAAACCTGGCTGGCAGTTCTGCTCAGCACAGTTTGTTAGCTATGAATTGGCCTCCTGGGACATGCAGGGCTGTTTTCCTCAATTATGTCTGTTAAAGAAGACCCCTGCGAGGTGCCAGCCCCAAGTTCACACTGTTATGCACGTGGCTAAACACATCCTCAAGCTCACACATGACCTAAAACATTCCTCCTGCAGCAGCTCCTCTCCCTGCCTCCAGCACCTCCTCAGACCTCACACGCTCCAATGGTGTGACCCATCACCACGAGCTCTGCCTGCCAGCACCGCGGGCACAGCAGAGCCCAACTCCACCACCAGCAATTCCGACACTGCTCCCAGCAAACCCGTCTGTGCACAGGAACAGCCAGCACAGGAACAGCCTCTCCACATCCTGCCCCTCGCTATTTCACTGCTAATTAACAAAGTGTCAGGTCTATGGAGCAAGGAATAATTCCTCAAATTTGTGCCCAGGAGAGACTTGACCTTAACAACCAGAATCTGCTTTAAATGCTGTCTCCAATTCACCCAAGCTATTCCTGCCTCCTATCTCTGATTAAACCAGAAATCACAACTTTATTGCTGAAGAGGGAACAGCCGAGATGGCAGGAACTGACAAAATGCCACATTATTTGCTAATCCTAATATGTTATTCTTCCTCAAGATTTGCTTTTCTCAGCACCAATTCAATTACAGATGCTACAAATCCTTCTGACATTTAATTCCCTCTTGTCAGGGCGCAGTAAATGTATACATGCAGAGCTTTCCCATTAGGATGTTAATATATATTGGAGCAAGCTGGATCCTGGTCTCTCCAGCAAATCGTCAGGAATCTTCCTATTATGGTTTTGGTTTACTTGTGGGTTTTTGTGGGTGGGGGTACAAGGAGGGAGGGAAGGGCACGGAAGGGACAGACATCATGGCATGTTCTCACCAACATGCCCCCCTTGGAGCTACTCTGCAGCTACAGTGCACCTCAGCTGAACTGTTTTTGGGTCGATGCTTTGCTTGGCACCAAAGCACCTTAAAGGAAAACTGCAGTGGTAATGGTACAATCCACCTGCCAGAACTGAGCTCAAGCAGGAAAAAAAAATCAATTTTTTCTTTTCAAGTGCTGCGCTGCCTCCCCTGAAGGGCTGGCAGGGCTGTGCCCCACATCAGGGGATGCCAGGGTTCCGTGGGATGCAGCACTGAGCAAAACCACTGCACAGCACAGGAGCACTGTGGGACCCCTTCTGGGGGTGGGCAGGAAGAGACTTAGGTAGCTTTAAATTAATTTTTGCTGATTATTTTAACCAACTGCTCATGTAATCAACAAAATAGTGATTATACCTCTGGAATGGGAACCCTGAAGTTTTCCTTTAAACAAAAAGTGCAGTTCAGCAAACAGCATGTAGACAGGAAAGAAAAGGATGTGGGGCTGGTTCCTACTCATCAACAAACTAAGGAACTAATTCCAAGGGCCAGGAGCAGCACAGAGCAGATGCTGAGCTGGGGATTGTCCACCTAAGTACTGACAACCAACATCTGTGATTCAAACCTGCAGGTTTTCAGCTATGAGGGCTTTGGGGGAGACCCTTTAAAAAAAATAAATGTATTTATGATCTCCAGTTTTCTAAAATTTCTGCCAATGTAATTGCTAAAACCAGCTTTCTGTGGGCTCTCAAGAAAAATACTGGTGATGGTAATGGCAACACCCTGACAGTCTGGGCCAGCACTTACACTGAGCTTTAGCAGAGGAAAGACTTTCCTGCTCCCAACTTCTCAATAAAAAGTTCCACTCAATTCCATTTTAACGAGGTTTTAAATATAGATGTATCTAAGGATATTCCACTCTGTCAGCAGCAGCTTCTCCAGACTAAAAGCAAGACTGGATTGGACCTGGCTGCCTGTATTTTAAATCTCATTTACACCCACACCAACAGCTTCAGACCTCTTTGGGTCACACCACCTCGTATTTACCTTCAGCGCTCCCCACGCTCTCAGCAGTGGGTCCCGTGGGGCTTGAAGCAGCAGGTTTGGGCTCACCTTGGTGACAGGAACCCTCTGCACCCCCGAGCATCCTGGAGCACCTGAAGGCAGCAGCTCCTTCCAGCGACTCCCACAGCTGGGGTGAGCTGGCACCGGCCCCCCTGAGCCGCTGGCACCGGTCCTGCCATTGCTGCTTCACACAGTGTCCCTCCCCGGGTGCCCCAGCACCCTCTCCAGCTGACTACACTCTCCTCCACTCTGTGCCAGAGGTGTGGAGCAAAAGCAGCACTGGGAGACACAGCCTGTCCTGCTGGGGTGTGGGAAAGCCCAGGTTTTATGCAGCCCCTGCTGCGTGGTGCTCCAGTCTCCTCTCCCTCCTCCTCACCTCCCTCAGCCTTTGCATTCTGTAGCCCAATGCTCTGCAACATTTTGGGCTATCTCTGGACCACCCTGACCCTCTCCTATGCACATTGTTGCTGTAAAAGTAGAGAACAGAAGATTTCTGTGGAAATGTAGTTTATACGTTAATTTTGGCATATTGGGATTTACTGCTGCACTCTCACAAAAATTTACCTTCTATTTCTGGGTGAAAATTAATGTCAAACTCCTGACATTGGACAGTGTGGGCTTAACTTGTGTGTGTGCACATGCTCAAGTTTATACACAGTGAACCCACTGACAGCTCCTGAGCTTCCCAGAGGTGCAGGGGAAAGGAAACCTATGCCAATGGCTTTGAAGAATTCCTAACTTAGTCATCTCTTCTAACTCTGGTTATTACTTAGTTTATTAAATGATTATCACACCAACCTGACTGAAGCTCCCACAGGTCATCATGTGGATGCTAATGGTCCTAAGTCACTTGGGCACTTCTGAAAACCTGGTTAGCCAACTATCCCTTTTTCCTTGAGGTAGGAACTGTGAGGACTGCACTGACACCTCCCCACTGCACTTGAGGTCAATTCCTTTGTGGAATGAAGTTTTTGAAATGATGGAGCAGCACTAAAGGTAGGGCTTGGTGGGGGTGCTGGTGGAAGAACAGGCTGTTGTTATTCCACAAACACTTAGCCACGATGTGGGAGGACAGAAATCACTGCCTGTGTGTGACAGGATGAGCAATAATGTTATTCTTTCCCACAGTGTGGCGTGGAGCGGACAACCCCTCCTCTAATTTATTGAGGGGCTGTTAAAGAGCAGCGTTAACCTGCCTGTCGTATCTTAATTGAATTTGGTCTAATTTAAGCCAGAGAAATTTGAGTTCATCCTTCTTCAATCAATAAGCTCCCCCTTCAGCGACCCATTTCAGGATCGCTTCATGAAAAATAACGCGCCTTGTTTGAAGGGCTGTGCTCACCCTGGCAGTGCCCAGCGCTGCTCCCGGGGATCCTCTGCTGGGAAAGGGAGCCTTGCTCACATTCAGCAGCAATGGATCCCCCAGCACCCCCTCTGCAAAGGTGCTGATCAGGTTTGGATCAGGTAATCCAGCCTGATGTGGAGGCTACGTGGGGCTGTCGTGACCGTTCCCTGTTTTACAGGAGGTATCAACGCTCTGGAGGAGAGCAGGAGCACTGGCACACACACACACACACATCTGTACCTGTGTGCCTGTGCAGGTACCACCCCCCCAACCACAGTCTGTACGTGTGTGCGTGTGCAGGTACACACACACACAGTTATCTGTGTGCATGTGCAGGTACACACACACACAGTTATCTGTGTGCATGTGCAGGTACACACACAGTCTGTACATGTGTGTGTGTGCAGGTACACACACACACATACATCCGTGTGCAGGTACACACACACACACACTCTCTCTCTCTCTCTCGCTCTCAGTGGTTTGCCCTCACGGTTCAGCGCTGCAGGAATCCTGCCTGTCGGACTGCACTGGGCTGCAATAAGGAACTGGGGTGCAAGGCCAGCCCTCTCTGCACCCTGAGGGCTCGGGATGTGAGGAACAAGAGGAGGACTGCAAGAGGCACGGACACACAGAGCTCGGCCAGGAAGAGCAGGACAGCTCTGGACTCAGGCTACCTGGCTGGAAGGCAAGGGATGCATTACTTAATTGCACGGTCGGCAGAGCCTCCGTTGAAGCTGTTAGCGGGACAGGAGTACCTGGAAGGAACAGCACACTGAGCAAACACAGCAGCAGCTCTGTGCCCGCCACACCACGGTCTCCCGTGGGGTGGGCACACGCCCTGCATCCCACAGGACTGTCCCCAGGGCTCCCCCTGCCCACTCCCGACGGAGCAGAGGGCAGCGTTCCCGATGGAAAGCTCAGCTCCAGCACTCACCTGGACCACCCGTCTGAGAGCACAAATGTGCTGACCTGGGGCCAAAAATGGGACCTGGTTTCAGTTTCCCAGCACTCTGAGCAGGGGTTACAGGATGGAGACTGCTCAGTTTGCAGCAGAGAACGACCCAGGGCTCTCTCTCTAGTGCCCCCCAATACCTGACGAGGTATGATCCTGGCCACACCTGACCAGGAATGATTGCCCTTTAGGCAGACAGGAGTGACCGAGAGCAACAAGCAAAATTCTGAAATTCTTAGGGAAAAAAAAAATTAAATCAGTAGCCAAACTGGATGCTCCAAAATGGATGTTCAGCAGCGCACAAAGGGCACTCACTGTGGGCAGTGGCTCTGTCTGTGCTGCATTCCTATAAGCTGGGGGAAATTTTGGCTTCCCTTCCAGATTCAGAACAAGGACAACACTGAGCTGTGTGCTCTGGGAAAGGTGTGAGCCCCTCTGGGCAGTGCAAGCACTCTGCAGCCTCAGCACAGGCTGCAGAGACTGGCACTGTTGGGAAGGGCAGGTTGCAGAGCAGACACCAATTTTGGGCAATTCCTTTGTGGAACTGTTTCCTGTTCTCTTCATTCACCAAATGGTGTATTTTTCCTTAAAAAATACAATTTTGAAAAGTAAAAAAGTTTATCAGAGCAAAACAATTATTCCCCATCCCCTCAGGGATGTTCAGGAGCCCTGCTGTGTCTTACCTATGGGATCTGGACTGGGCCCACAGCAATAATTGTTAGCATTGCTCAGGGTTAAAACACACCAGGAACAAATCCATCCTTTCTGACCTCTTGACCAAAGCACACTAGTAGTGGCTGACAGGATGGGATGCTCCTGATTTGACTGGGTGAAAGGGAAGCACCTATTTGACAGAATGAGGACTCAGGTGTTTGCTTTTTTTGGGGTTATTTTTTCCTCCATGCTGGAACCCCTGAAGGGAACAGCAATGAGCCACAACCCCCCTGGGCAGACTCTTCCTGGAGGGACAAAGGGCTGCTCCTGCCTTATGGCCGAGATTCTGCACCCTGTGTTGGAGTGGCCACATGCAGCCTCAAAGCCTGGCAGGTACGATGAGTCTGCAGGGATGCTCTGCAAGTGGGAGCAAAAAAATTGGGTGGATTTCTATAGGAAAGCATGAAGAACAGAGATTTCAGGTTTGTACCCCTGGTACAGGCCCTGTTCTGAATATACCAGATGCATCCACTGAAGATGCTGTTGTGCTTCAATCTGGATCACCACTGATTGGCAAGGACCAGCCATGGGGATGCTTTTATGCCCCTTCCAGTCCAGTGTGGATAAAAAAAAAAAAGGTTGAACCATTTACTTGGTTTTGCCTCGCTGATAAAACAATCACCTCTGGTTTACCCCCAGCCTGATGCTCGTACACCGAGGAATCTCTGAGCAGCCGAGGGTTAATGCGGTTAATGCCGGCCGCCCGTTTCTAGGGTGGTTTCACAGAATATGACAGAGTTGAGTGTTTTACAAGCAAAGATTCAACTCAACCGGTCTCCAAATCAGTGCTCAAAAAACCCCAGCTGGGAGGGAACCGCAATGGTTGGCCTCGGCGCCCTGCACCTCCCGCCCCGAGGGTGCCACACAGAAATGGGTGCCAAAACCAAAAAAAAGGAAGGAAAACCCCAACAGAAAGGAGAGCACATCCAAGCTGTGAGAGCGTGGGGAGAATGGCTGCGCCACAGCGACTGCACAATGCAACACGGCCAAGATGCAGAAATCAGAGTGGAACCAGTGTCTAGCGAAGGAGAGCAGCGGGTTACCTACGGACTAGCCCTTACCTGAGAGATCCCCATAGTCCAGCTCCTCGGCCGAATTGGGCAACTGAGTAAAGCCTTACAAGTAAAAACAAACTCGTTTTTCTCTGCGTTTCTCAAGCGACAAAAAACAACACACTTAAGAAGTGAGGATGAATTTCTTGGGGGGAAAAAGAGAATGCATCAGTCACTCGCCACCGTCTGCTGGTGTGGGCAGAGCCGTCGTGTGACACGAGTGCAATCGTGGCCTTTATTACAGACAGAAACGCTCCTCGCTCTACACTGTTGGCACACGAGACATGGCATCGAGACCACTCACTCATAACAGCATGCAGAGCCCCCAAACTCTGGCTTGGGCAACTTCCCAATTTAGTCCAGGCCGATTTCGGTCCTGCCATACACAGAGCCATGGAAAACTTTCTTCCAATTTTGCACCCCATCCAATTGGTTTTGGTGGTGGTGACAAGCCCGGCCGTTTATCAGTGAGTGAAGATGAATATTGAGCCCCCTGTTTCATGGCCGCAGGGCACCTCTGCAGGCTGTGGGCTGTGTCCTCTGCCAAACCATCAGGCAAAACCAGCTTTTGTTCATTTGCCCAAATGTGATGGGTTTATGGGCAAAGCATCTGTGCTCCAAGCTCACAGAACAGTCAGGGAGGCATGCAGTCATGGCCACCACAGGCAGCCAGCGCTGTCTGTGAGGGTGTTAGTGCTGTTTGTTTGGGAGTTTGAGGAAGTGCCAGGGTCTGCAGGCAGAGCAGTCCCTTGGGTGGACATCTCAGCACTGGTCACAGGGCAAACCAGAGCCTGGAGACCACCCACACCTACTGAAAGGAGGGGTGGGGCAGCATTACCCTGTGGGCTCACTCTTGCTGCTGGCTGCTAAAGCAAATGCATAAGTGAAGAAAAAAAACTCCCATGAAGAGATCCCCCATCCCTGGGCCCTGGGGAGCCTGGAATTGTCAGCTCACAGACTGCTACCAGTGCTTGTGTGAAGCAGGAAAGCTGTGAGTGCAGTATGGTCAACGTGCAGACTGGCCCCACTGCTGAGCAGCAGTACATATATATGTATTGCTCCTTAAAAATAAAACTAATTTTCAGTGACTGGTTTTTAAATACGTCACCTGGAATCTACATTAGAATTACCTTCTGAAGTGGGAAGCCATTTAGATTAATAGCAGGAAATTTGTTTGTGTGCCATTCTTGGGTTTCAGGGAGCCTTTTCCAGATTTTCAGGAGCCTTTTTTCTATGAACAATCTATAAATATGACAGTTGACTCACAGAAGCATGGGCCATGCAAAGCTGCACTCAGCAGAGGAGCCCTTCAACTTTTCTCTCTCCAAAATTGCTTCTGTAGAGCCTTCCCTTCCCTTTTAAAGGAACTACCTTTTCTCACTAATGAAAAAGGGCAATGTTGCATTTTTTATGAAGCAAAAAAAAAAAAAAAAAAAAGAAAAAACCTTTTCAAAAGAAAATGTGCAACAATTCCACAATTCAGTTTCTCTCTGCACCTGGGACACTCACAAATGCCACCGACTGGTGTTAAAACCTGTTGTGAGGCATTTAAATAGGTGGCAAATTACTTCTTGATTTTTCTCATTAAACTTTCATATCGGCTACTAAAGCCCCTCCTTTTCACTTCTGAGGGGATGAATTGAAAGTCTGCCACTACTCCTGCTAGATAAATAAAAAGGAACTTTTCACTAGGCTCCATTTCCCTGGAAATGATAAATCCTTGGTGGGCGCAGCTGGCACAGCGAGCGCGTCCTCAGCCCGACCGGGCACCCGCACGAGGACACTGGCACCCCGGCTCTATTTAGATTTCTATGGGCTCCCACACTACCTCTGTTTTTTAAGGAAAAGCCAATTTCTCTCCCGTCTCAGGCTCTAAATAAGCAATTAGGGATTCCGTTTCATGCGGCGCTCTGTGGTGCCGCGCAGACCCGCAGCGGGCGCAGACAGCGCTGTGATGTTTTATTCAACCGCCCCGAGGACGGGATCTGTAAAATATATTGAGGAACGTATTTACTATTAGCTGTACTTTTAAGTAGGGCATTTCCAAGAGGGAACGAGGCGGCTGGACGGGCAGAGCATAATGGCAATGCAGAAAGCTCTGAGGCTTTTCCCGTAGCACCTGTCAAGGTGTGCGAGCAGCCGGCACCGGGGCACGGCCAGGCTCAGGCTGCAGCCAAGCAAAACCCATTTTCAGTGACTGAGCTATCAAAAAACCCAAAAAGAGCGTAACACAGTAGTGTTACCTGTTCTTGTACCAAACCCTGTTAAGGCCACAATTAAAATCCCACATGGGCCTTCGGGTAAGAATTTCCAGCCTGTAAAATAATTTACCTGCTGCATTATGGGCAAGGTATTTTCTCGTCGCTCTTCATTCGCAACGGGGGTGTTTTCATTATTTTAACCTTCACTCCAGGCTTCCTGCTTTGCCAGCTTCAGAGAAGGTTTTTTTCACCCTACCTTTCCACGAGGATGAGCAAAAATTCTGCCTGTGCTGAGGCAGCAGCGCCTGGTTCCTGCCTTGGTGGGGGAGAGGGGAGCAGCTCTGAGCCCCCCATGGCTGGACAGACGGACAGGGCTGCAAGTGCAATACCCTGTGCCGGCAGCGCCTGCATCCTGGGAGATCCCTCCGAGCTCTTAAAGCTCTCTGCTTACAACAGGACAAGGGGAAAATTTGGGAAAAAGTGGGTAAATGTTCAGCGTGTCCAAGGTCATGGCTGCTTGGAGACGTCCTGCTTGTGTAGGGGGCAAAACGTGAGCTGGGCGTCTCACCTGAGGGGCTCCACAAAGGGCAGCACCTCACGATGTCTGAACTCTCCCGCCCACCGAGGGACAACAGCGGCCAGGACATTAAAAACTGGCCTGTTTATTTTGGTGGGGAGAGGGGCAGGGGAGGAGAAGCAAAAGGGCATGGCAGAAAAAGCGCTTTCTCCCCCAGCTGAGAGGTGCAGATGCTCCCGGCTCCACCAAGCTCTGCCCATTTTCCAGCTCAAACAGTGGGACCTGTGATTTCAGCCTCGCTGGCACCCTGACCCCACAGGGGCACACTGAGAGGGAGGAGGGCTGAAGCTGGGAAACCCCGGCTTCGTGGGGTGCACAAGCCTTCCTGCCGGCCATGACCATGCTGTTATTGGAGCTCTGGCAATGAACAGTGCAGAGAAAGGAGAAAGTGCATCAGAAAATTCACAGTTAAGCTCTCATTTTTCAACAAAAGAGTTAACAATGTTCGTGCGTTAGGTCACTCATGCATCGCTGCCGTCAACTCCATTCCGGGAGGAAACGGGAATGGCAGGGCCTTGGCTACCACTGGGACATGCACACACATACAGGACTCCTTCCCCCCAGTCCTCTAGGATACACTCCAAAACTTTAAATGGCTCAAACCCCCTTTCCCCAATTGAAACATTGTGCTGGCTCCACACTGGCCTTACATTCTGTTTTCTTTGCTAGCAATCTCTTTTTTTTGGTTGGTTTTTGGTTTTGCCTTTTTTGTTTTGTTTTCTTTTTTTTTCTTCCCCCAATTCATTTAAAATTGTTTTTGGAGAAAATCCATTTGGCTGTATTCATGCCCATGCATTTCTAGTCATTCACAGACATGCTCACTCCCATTGGACATCGGAAAGAACAAATGGCCAACATACAGAAACACCTGGTATACTCCATACACACTCCAGCAACACAAGCTTGGAAAGAAATCCAGAGTCTTCACCGGAAAAGCACCCCACGAGGGCAAGCGTGGGAAAATTCAGGACAAACTGGCTGGTTTTAAGGCAGGAAAGTTTGTAGCAGCTCGTTTGACTGGGATGGGTTGTCATTTCAGCTGACCACCTCCTTAGCAGTGATCCCCCTCACAGAAAGGGGAGGTTCAGAGGTCATCCTCAAGTTAAAAACAGGCTTTTTATGGCTTCCCCAGGACAAGGAAAAAGGAGGTAAGGGTTCTGCCTCCCATGCCACCAGTGAGCCTGCCTGGCTTGTCCTCACCACAGAGACTAATGCACGGCTACACTGAGCCTTTCCTAATACTGAGAGACCCAGAAAAGATGTCAGATCATACTGGCACTGGGGCTGCCTGATCCTTCCCAAATTTAGGGATCAATCACAAACCTCCCAATATTGGCTCTGGACATTTAACACACACAGGGAGGTCGTCACGCAGAGAAAACACATGTGTGCCTGAAAGCTTCCCATCTTTACCCTAAGTGGGAAAATGCATCCAAGTAGGTAAGTTACTTGAGACATGAAGGACAAACTCCCCCTCTCTTGACATGGGGCATCACTACTGAACCATTGCTTCACTCAGTCCACCTCTGCCCCCATCCAAGCGACACCTTGAGGGGAGCAGGCAGGAAAACTGGGTACACTGCACCATGGATTTCTGTCAGTAAAAAAAACCCAGTTAATTTATCAGAGTTAAAAGAAACTAAAATAGCAAGGTCCAACATGGTTAGCTGCAATTAAAAATTGTCAGAGGTTTTGGTTCTTTAGCTGAAAAGTGAGCTCGTGCCAAAAAACGAGATGCTCAACTTCCAGCTTGCAGCGCGTACGTAGGCTCGCTGGGGAACGGAGGAAGCTTGGGAAGCTGTCAAGCTGTTAGCTAGACTGCCTCGAGCAGACGAGAAGGGTTACTTTGCTAGACTGCTATGCTGAGAGGAAAGTGTTGCTATTTGTTTTCCCCATCTCCTTCTGCAGTGTAATAACACAAACTTCACTGCCGACCTCCCAGGCGAGCGCTCCTCTGTGGAGCATCCCAGAACCCCCCAAGCTGCCCCACACCGGCAGACCCAGTGGAGGCCCTGTCTTAAAAACTAACTCAGAATGCAAGAAAAATGCTCAAAAATTTAAAATAAAAATAAAAAAAAATTGAATTCCTATGTTGAAAAGCCGGATTTACCTCCCACGTGTGAAGTGATTCTCCCAGCCGATGGGTGGAGAATCACCTGGCACTGCTCAGACCTGGATTCACTTCCATGGGGCTTGGGGCCTGCCTGGCACAGGATGACCGGCTGCGAAGCTCACAGCAGAAATGACAAGAGCAGACAAGACTTTCCAGCCTTAAAACCCATGTTGCATTTATGAGATGAGTCCACCTGAAACACGGTTTTCCCTTGAAGACTCCAGCTCCCTTTTTGGCTCCCCCTTCCCAGGCTTGTCTTGCCACTCAGCAGCGCTGAGAAATAAGATAAACAGGAATGTGATACCAACCGTGAACTGCCGGTTCTGTCGTCGCCGTTGTGTCTACACACGGGAACAGAGGATTGGAGGAAGGGAAGAAACAGGAGGAACAGCATGCAAAAAAAGGGAAAATGGAAAAAATGGAACAGATAATATATGAGCAAGCTTTCAAAGAACATTGCGTGACAAGCAATAATAAAATGAAAGGCAAAAAGCATTTGAAGTGAGTTGCACTGTTTAGAAGACATGCCTCCAGTTCAAAAGCTATGAGCCTGAGGAAAACAGTAAATTTTTCTCTTTTTCCAGGATCTTGCCAGAACAATTACTGGTGGTTGCAAAGTCAGGGGAACAGGAGACAGGGGAGAACACTGACACCAACGCTTTAGTTGGCGGGGACAAAACAGAAGCTCCAGAGCAGGACGAGGAGCCGAGGCTCGACACGTCGCTGTTACTCACTCAAACACTGCCCGCACCAGAGGGCCCGTGGCTGGGGAATGGTCTGCTCCCCCCTCTCCTCCTCCTTCCCAGCCACCACCTGCATGATGCACCATTCTTCCAACAAAAAATGTTCTAGAACTGGCAATTGCAGACAAAGGTTACCAGTCCCCCTGCTGCAGCAGGTACCTGGTTAACAGCTACAGCTAATTAAAATATCCTGAAGTTTTCTTGGCCATTAGTCTGAAGCTGACTCTATTCCATTCAGGCTAAATCCCACTGGGAATTTCTTGAGGGCTGCTGCCTTCCTGATGGAGAGATGCTTTGTCTCTTCGAGGTGTTTGCAACAGGCAGCTTTTAAGACTGACTTGAGTCTGCAGTCTTTTCCTGACAGTTATTTCCTCCACACCAATAGGTCTAAATTATATTTATCCATGTTACCAAAATTCACTGGCTTATTTAGCTGTTGGAGCTGGGGTCATTGGCTAGAGTGGGCTGGCTCCTCAGACCGTGTCACGGACATCCCTGGAGCCAACAGCACAGGCCAGGCTTGGCCCAACCTGCCCGGGTTCGGTGCAGTGTTTGAGTGAGTAAAACCGTGTGAGTGAGCACAGAGAAGGCTCCACTGAGCACCCCTGCACAGCAGCCCAGAGCTTGGGTTTTGTAGCAACGACAGACAATTCACAGCGGCGTTTCCCCTCAGTGACATGCTGGCAGAGAACCCGGGGACGGGCTCCCTGCACGGGCAGAGGCAGCAGTGGAAAAAGGAGGACCCGTTCCTTGGCAATTTAGCTGAGGACAGCTCAGGGCTGAATTTCTGAAGCAGCAGCAAAGACAGGAATCATACAAGGAATACACAATACTTACAGATACAAGGTCTACATGCTTTAATTATGGAAGCAAAACAAATAAACCCTGCACAGTTTAACAAACTGCACCAAGATTTGCATAAGAGATTATCAAGCCATCATTAGCCTGTTTTCACTGCCAACAGAGACTGTTCTCATCTTGGCAACCAAATCTGAGGCACCCTCTAAGAGACTGGCCCTTGTTCTCCTGCAGGAGCTCTGGGGGCTGCAAGGGAACCCTTCCAAAGTCATGAGGAGACCAAGAGCAGGGCTTTGCTTTGGTTTTGGGCAGCAATCCCCAAATGATGCCTCCTTTTAACCAAGCAAATGGTGGAGGGGGAAATGGTGGTGGAGGTGGGGGGGGAAGTTGTTGTTCAGAAGGGGTAAAACTGAGTATTAATTCCTGAGATGGCATCTATAAATAGTCTCAATTTACTGTCTTCCTGAAACAAAAAAAAGTTACATCAGCTTTTACATTAAATAGAGAATCTGCTGGAAGCCAACTTGTATTGACGTGCTGGAAGAGATATTAGTCAAGAAACAGTGCAAACTGGACAGTGCATCTCGCTTCCCTGTCCGGGGACAGAGACCAACAGGTTGCACAAAATAAAGTTCTCAAGCGGTTGTAAGTGCGAACAAATATCCAAGTCAAACAACATGTTGGCTGCAGCTGGAATGACAAAGTTATGATTAGCAAATGGTTTGGATGGTTGCAATAGGAAACACAGACCGGTTAAAGTTTAGAGTGAGCTTTCAGGGAGTCCTGTTCAATCCCAGAGTCTTCTTTGAGCAGAAGGACTGCACACACCAGTGTTCCGAAGGGGAATAATCTTGTATTAAAGAGAGGAACGCCCCAACACAGGCACACTACTGCAGTGGTGTGGCAAAGGAGAGGAAAACTGTCACTGGTGCTTTGGTACCAAACCAGTGCACTCCTGTAAATCCATGTGTGTCCCAGCCCCACTGCTGTCCCTCCTCACCCAGGAAGGAACATTCTGGCCCTACAGTGCTGCTGCTCGGACAACCCCTAACTTTAAACTGGACTGGCTAACTCTGAACGTGCTTTCCTGAATCCCAGGTATGAGCCATCAGCTTCTCCTTTGCTTTCAAGAACAGCCACTCTTCCATGCCAGAGCAGGCAGACAGCACCCCAGGGACCAGCCCTCTGCCCCATGTCCTATAACAAAAAACATCTGTTCTCCTCAAATACTGACCAACAAGAAGTCTTTCAGACATTCCTGACCTAACCAATGTTGAATAAAGCCAAGGAAAGGCTTTGCCATCACCAAAAAGCACAGTTCTAGTCCCTTGCCATCAGTGTGCAGAGCAGCCACACGATCACCCCAGGCTAATGTCTGTAATTTAATATGGAAACTCGGTGATGAAGAACGGGCTGGTTTACCAGGTGTGGCAAAGCCAGGACGTAGAAAGCACATAACTAAAGAGACTCAGCTCTACAGGAGACATTCTATCTTAAGAGCAAACCTTCTCTTCCTGACACCAATCAAGAAGAGAACAAAATGTGCTGTTTGGGGAGAAGCCACACAATGCCATGGCCTTCCAAAATCTCCGTGTACACAAGCTCCCCAGAGGCCTACTTTATAGCTACAGAGGGTACCCAAGGGAAGAACCACCGGCCCCTCCAAAGCTGCAAATTTCACTGTATTGGGATTTCTGTTTAGCACTGCCCACGATGAATGAAGACACCAACACACATCGTCCTGCGACACGACGGTGGAATCTGCCAGCAAAGACAACTCGGACGACACCCACGCTCCAGGCACTCACCACCTCATCAGGCAGCTACACAAGCACACACACATACTTATAAAATCACTGTGTGGAGGCAATCTGGGCAATATTTCCCTCAGTTACAAGCTCCATCGCTGAGCCTCCTCATTTTCTCAAATGGATTCTCTCCAACTTCAAACTGTTTGCAGAGCGTGACAGACCGGGCCCTTTAAACCCGGCCATAATTAGTCCACAGCCTCAAACAGAAACAGCACGATGGAGGAATATTAAAAGCCCAGCAGCAAAATTAAATTCCCCCAGTTGAATGCTGGAGCTGCAGTGCTGCAGCCTTGCGGAGGCATTTGGTGCTGAGGAGCACACTGAGAATTACAGCAGCACATCCACAAAATAACAGCAAAAACACGCTGCTGCCTTTTAAATTTAAAAAGGCTTTAGCAAGTGTAGATATCTACTCAATATATTGCTTTTTAAATTGCTTTCTGAACTGAAACCAAAAGCCAATCTGATCCCTGACGCGTGGAACTCTTATTCTTCCCGATTTTCCAGACTACTTCACATGTGCTGACCAGGGTGAGTTTGAATTCCTGCACGTTGCTGTCTTCGCAGCAGCCTGAGGGACCAGCCTGCAGTGCTGCAAATGGGATTCCTGCTTTAGTTCAGGTCCCCGGGGAGAGTGAAAAGCCCTACAAACCCCTTCCTGGAGTTCCCATGGAACTCCTGCGGGACACCAGCAGAGACATCACATCCCACACCACGTCCACCCTCTCCCTCACCACGTGCTCCTCAGAAGGATGGACGGGGACAACCTTTGCATTCCAAAGCCCCCCCAGCTCGGGGCTGCAACGTGCCCTGGAGACAGCTTGATTTGCAGAGCAGATGTTCCACAGAAATCATCACGATCTGCACGGACGGTGTGTGATCACAACAAAAGCAGTCTGAAATGAGCGCTGTGGCTCCGGCCACGCTTCTGCATGTTTCTCCATACAGATTTGGCTAGATTTTGGTTTGATTTCAATCCCAGGCTTGCACAAGCCTCAGTCTCACGCTTGTGCCAAGCAAGATGATGGTTTGGGCACTGCTTATGCTGTGTCACTGCGGGTAAGGCCAGGTATGACAGTACCTGTCTACTACTAGCTGGATGTGGGCCCCAAAAGACTGAATTTTATTTCCTTTTATTTCCTGTCCCAGACCTGTCAGCTCTGCCTTTAGCCCCTTTAATGCGGGCACATTCTGGATGAAAATGTCAGAAGAGCAGAGAATCATCTTTAAATGAACTTGACATTTTACCAGGGACAGGCAGAAGCTTCAACGTAAAGTGAAAGTTAAATAATAAATAATTTGGGGGAACAAATCCCTGGGCTGCGTCCCTGCACGGTGGTATCAAGCACCTGAACATGTCACAACCCGACAGCAGACCAGGAAAGCTGACAGCAAACTGGGAGCCCTGGCAGCTCCTGCCCATGTGCTCATCTCCCTGTTTGCAGGGTGGGCACTGCAGACTCTGGAAGAGTCCAGACCACCAGGCTGAAGCTGACCACCATCATCCATCTCTGATCTGACTGGGGAGCAAATGTGTTTCTCTTTTACAATTAAATTCCATGTCCCCACCTGCAGCACTCTCACAAGGACCAAGCTTAAGAGCTGATATCCCAACTCAGCATCAATTCCCAGCTCGCTGGCTCCTGCACACCTCCAAACCAAACAGAGCTTGCTGCTGCTTGTACAAATGCTCAGCCTCAGGAAGGAACTCAGAGTGCTTACACAGCACAGGCTTGGTGCTTTCCAGATGTGTTCACTGGAGAGACTGGAGCATCTCTGGGAATTTTCAAGCTAAAACCACTGCCCACAATGTTACGGCCCCCTGAAAGACATAAACACACACTACTCCAAGGGATCAGTGGGGTTTAAGATACACTCTAACCTGACATTCCAGGAAGGACACTGGGAGCCCCCAGCTTGTTGCTAATGCTGCTGCAAAGGATGGAGAGCAGGGGCTTTGCAGGGTCAGCAGCACCCGCTGCACGGCTGGAAACACTGGCAACCTGCACACGTGTCACACCCCCAGGTCTCCACCAAAAGTGCTGCCAAGACACCTGTGTGATCCACCTGCGGAGAAAGCACGGGAAATGCAAATCTGCACCTGCAAATGGTGCCCTGGATCCCTGGAGGTCGATGTGCCAGGTGGGCCAGGAGGCAGCGAGGGGGCTGGGAAAGGCAAATGCTCCGTGCTGTGCTCCGAGATGAGGACTGGGCTGTGATTAAGGACCTTTATCTCCCAGGAAACAACAGCTGTCCAAGCCCAGCATTTCAAGGAGCGACTCCAGGGTAATTCAAATGATGCCGTTTGCTCTGCTGTATCGTATTGTACATCTTAATGAAGAAAGCCACAAGGACAATTTGAACTGATAAAAAAGGGCTCAGCAGTGATAACGGCTGAAACACCAAAGGATGGCCGGAATATCAATGGCACTGGAGGATACATGGAAAAGATCAAGCTGTCATGCAGAAAATCTTTTCAAGCACCTACACTGAAGTGACAGAGGGAAAGCTCTAAAGGTCGCAGTGTTTGGAAACTTCACCACTGCTCAGCTTGTCCTTCGCTGAAGAAAGCATCAGGTCAGCTTTCCAAGAGCTCCCCCAGAACCTCCCTGCACCAATAAATCAAAAGGACAACTTCCAAGGGCAGAATTTTCTATGGGCACTTGCTAGAAACTGCTTCAGTGCAGTCTCTCCCTGTTTTACTAAATTAAAGCAAGACTGCTGCTTTTCAGAACTACTCCATGGCTTCAGGGGACATGAACTGGGTCAGGATTTTACTAGAACTAGGGGGGAAAAAGGTAAAATAAAATAGATTTCATGCCCCCCCTTATCCTAAGAATCAGATTCCACCAGGCTGGCCCCATATGCCTGGATTGCCAGTGGTTCAGGGAACATCCTGTTGGCTCCCACTGCTCCTCTGTCACACAGGAAGAACAGTGCAGTGTTTGGGTGAGGATGGGAATTAAGGTATCAGCTGTCTCCTGAGGCTTTAAAAAGTGTTCTGACACTACTCTGCTATGTAATTCTAGAGATTATGTTAATTTGACCTCATTTTTTCCAGCTATGAAGTCTCTTAACTACTGAAGGGCAGAAGTCGGTGCCACTCCGCTCTGCCTGGGTGCTGGCTGGAGAAGACACACATACACATCTCTGCATGATGGAGGGAGGTGAAGTGTTGGCTGCTCTGTGTGAGAAAAGCATACTGAACTCACAGGTAGAGGATGGGAAGACACACATCAAGAAGATTCAGTGACAGGGAAGAAAAAAAAAAACTTCTCTTATCAGCATTAATCTTCTTCCGGCATATCGCAAGCAGGAACTGCTGGAATCAGGGAGCAATATCACATTTTCATTACATTTCCAGCCTCCTCAGCAGTTCAGAGCCAAAATAGAAAGGCATCAAGGAGGCGATGGAGACACACTGGGTTCTGCCAACAGAGTCTGAGATCCTCCACCACTGCAAACAAAGGTGAGAGAATGACGTCGGACAGCCCCGCGCTCCTGACCCCGGGGGACCTCTGTCAGGCTGATGACACAGCCACTTCCAACTGCAAGAACCGCCACCACCCTCCCCTTCTCATTTGCAATAAGAAAGACCTGGAAAACTACCGCAGAGGAGAGCCCTACTGAACATCCACAGACCAGCTGCAGCACTTGCAGCACGAGAGCAAATCACCAAACCACTATTCGTTGTGAAAACCAACCGTGACTTGGAAGCCTGACACAGCAGGTGAGGGCAGGTGAGGACAGTGTGGGCTTGGGAAGGCAGTGCTGGAACAATCCCTAAAACCACAGGCTGATAACAACCCAGTTCCCAGGAAAAGGACAGTCGTTAACTTTTGCAGGCACAGAGATTAACTTAAGGGGTTATCCAAGCATCAAGACACACCGTTCCTTTTAGCCTTCCAAAATTCACTGAAAGCACGAGCAATTACCGTCAGACCAAAGAAACTTGTGTACACATCCACGAGCAGCGTGTGGAGACACACGGGCCGAGCTTCTCTGCAAAGGGCTCTTAGGGAGGCTCTGAGAAAGCTCCAACCTCCTCTGAAACGAAAGCTGGTTAAAGTCTAGAAATTAAAACCACGGAAAACAGGAGGGTGGTTCACGGCAGAGCGTCCCAAGCATCCAAAGTGGGGTGCCTGGAGCTGGGTAAGCACCTGCAGGGAGGAAGCAGAGCGTGGCGAGGTCTGGCAGAGCGATGGTTGATGCCGGCGCGTGTTAAGGCACGTTGGGAGAGAGGCTTCGCCTGCGGGGCCCGCCCTGGGTGCAAAAAACCTCGAAAGGAAAGAAGCCACAGAACGCCCCGGGCAGGACGGTGAGAGTCAGCTGAGCGGTGTCATAAAAGCAAATAAAACGTGAAGGCATTTACACAGGGGATGGTTTACAGCAACAGTAAACGTTGTGCCATTAGCTATTCAATGGTCCATCCTCACCTGCCGTTTGTCACCTCTGCCTCAAAAAAAAAAACCCAAACCAAAACAACCCACAAGAAGCAGCAAGAAAAAGCAAAAGCAGCGGTTGGAATAGGAAAGGTCAGAGAAATGACAATGTGAATGGTTACAAATAAATCAGAAAGGTTTTCCTGATGAGTGAGGAGTCGGGTCTGGTGAGGAGGTATGAGGATGTGTCAGAGAGAGGTGTCATGATCTTGCTGGTTGTTTTTATTCATCTTTTCTCGCAAGACAGGGAAAAATCTCACAAGCTGAAAGGCAGCTCCTCAAAAAGGGGCCAATGGACGGCGCTCACTCAATAAAAACAACTGGTGGAATTCCCTTTTCTGGGAGAGTGAGGGAGAGGCTTATCACAGAGAGAGACCAACACCCTGGCATGAGAAAAAACATCTCGAGTCACATCAGGCGAATTAAACTGCTGAAGATCAAACTTTCTGCTATAAATTGCTCAGAAATTGATACTGATGGGGTGGAGGCTGAAACGACTGCCCATGTTAAGTGAGCTCTAAGGCTGTTTGCATCCTGCATGTGAAGTACCCACTGAATTAATACTGGTAACTGAATTAATTGCTCTTCCTGCCATGACAATTCCCGCATTTCAGAAACACCCACGGCAAGGACCATCCGACATGTGGAGCTGCCAGACCAGGGCCTGTGCCATGGGCGTGTTTGAGGGGGGAAAAATACTGCAATGGTTTGTTGTTTTTCCCCAGGCTTCATGCTCTGCTTATATACATAAAAGACAATAAACATTCAGGACATTTCCAATGGTTATGAAGGTACCGTACCTGTGATGGTGGTAGGGATGGTGGTGGTAGTGGTGGTGGTTGTTGTGGGAGGAGGGATAGTTGTGGGGGGATCTGGATAAAATATAAAAAGGAAAATAATAAAAAAGCAAATTAAGAAAAAAAACAAGCAGAACACAACAGTGGTCAATCGTGATCAGAGGAAAACAAGGACGCTAAGAAGCAGGGCAGGGGTTGGGGGCCTTTCCTTGGCTAAATCCCAGGGGGAGAGCCCGGCAGCTGCAGGGGACAGGGGGGTCAGATTCTCCACCTGCAGGGACAGTGGGGGCAGATTCTCCACACCGCTGTGCTTGGGAGCTGTGCCCACGCCTGCTCCGGCTGGAGAACCTGGCCCCAACCTCTCCCCCTTTCTGCCTTCTACAGTGCTAAAAAAAATAAATAAAACCCAGCATAAATTAGTCAATGAGAGAGAGAAATGGAATGGGAGAGGCATAAGGAAAATAAACTGCACGCTTTCCACAACAAAAAGAACAGTTTGCACATACAAGGAGAGACACGGTGGTGCTTTGGTGGTTGTCTACGGATACATTTGCAAATTCAGGTGGGAGGGTTGTGTGAGGGGCCCTGCTGTGCTTCACAGTCTAAACATTAACAGCACATGAACAGATCTCACTGTCTTCCCAGGGCCGTGAACCCCACTGCTCTTCCTCTATGAACACACGGCAGCAGGATGTTAAAAACTACTTCAAAGATGGGAACGAATGCAGAGAAACGACAACATCATCACTGAATATCTATGTCCAGGTATGAGGAATTCCACCAAGGTCTTTTAATTAAAAAAAAGTCAATATTTTTCTGACAATATCAGTTGCACACTCTTGTTTTTGCTACTAGGGCATCGTTAATGAGATGTTTCTCTCTGTGACCATTTCTCAGACGGACCGGACCTGTTGAGATTCAAACCCTGCTGCTCTTTGTGGTATTGATGTTACATACAGGGGCACATCCTCATCAAAACTATCGGGCAGGAGAAGGTAGATGTGAGAAGATGTAAAAGAAAAAATATGTATCAATGCCTAGATGATCAAACTGAATGTGCTAAGTAGTCAGGAAGACTTTGAACTATGGATTCATTCGGCAATAATAGAGCATGAAACCTTTCATGGGCTTTTGATTTTAGGTTTCCTCCGTAGCACGTCAACTATTCCTCACTAATACATCTGCTACTCTTTTATCTCCGAGTGAGCTCTCTCAGATCCCCTAATTAAGATATCTGAACTTTAATTATATGCTACTTCTTTATTATATTTCACCCAGCTTCCCGAAAGTTAAGGAACATCACCTCAGAGCTTGCTGTGTTATGAGCTGTCACTGTCCTTCCCTACATCCCAAGGACCCCAGCCCCTGTGCTTATGGCAGGGCGCTTCTCACTCGCTCCTGATCCATACAGCAACTCGGGAGTGGTGGGGATCCTCACAGCTAAGGCACAGTGGGAAGAGCCCCTGGACACACACCCACCGGCACGGGACAGGCTGTGCCGCGGGCTCTTCCTCCATAAAAGCAAAATAACAAGCTGGTGTGCTAATGGTGCTGAAAGTTTCTATCAAATGTGTCTGCCCACAGGGAGAAAAGCATGAATTTTAGACATAAACACGCCTTCAGCATGTGTGATGTGTTTAGACATCCCCACCCCACGCGGGCAGCTGCGAAGGCGTTGGGCACAGCTCAGCAGTGGCTGCTGGAAGCCGCTTGCATTTCAAATCACTGACCTGCAGAGGTGTCCCTTTGGAATAGGACTACCTGAACCCTGACCCTCCTGGAGCTGTGCCAGACCCTGTTCTGTGACACCCTGGGCGTGGAGTGTCTGTAACTCCACAGTTCCACACTAAGGTGACCTGGGGAGCTCTGCATGGATGAGCGGCCAGAGCTGGCCCTGGTGAGGCACATCCTCCCCCTGACACTCACACAGCACCCAGAGAGACGTGGCTGCACAGACACAGAGCCCAGTGCTTCTGTGGAATTTGCTGCTGGAGGTGGGGAAGGGAGTCAAGGGCTGGAGGCATAGGTGCTCCATCACTGGGTGGGGTGAGACCAGCACGCTGAACTTCCCCTCAGCAGCAGCTCGAGCTGGGCTCTGTGCCAGGAGGCTTCAGCTGATGACCACAGCCCAACCACTCCCTCCCCCACTTCAGATTTCTTCCTTTTAAATTAAGGGTTAAAAGGATTCCTTATGCTGTCCAGAGTGCCAGATCCCACCGGGATGCTCCCAAACATGCAGGAACCGGAGGTGATGGAGAGCTAAACCCTTCTCTGCCCACGAGCAGCCCTCTCCTATGCAGCCAACACGTCTGCCAGAAGCCTGAGCTACAGCCCATAGGTCTCCATCCCCTGGGAACTTGCATCTCCTTCAAAGTAATGCTGTCTTGGGTCTCCTCCCGTGGATTTAATCCCAAGAGGGAGCAGCCCTGAGGAAGTTCTGTGCTGTGTATTCTTGACCTCATCCAAAGTGCAGAGTAATTACCACATGCAAGAGTTACCACAAGCTCTAAACTCCAGGTGAGTAACCTGGGGAGGTTCATCCAGCCCTCCCTTGGCCTAGGACGGGTATGTAGAACCACATAAGGAGGGAAACCTCCTGCCCCACAGCTGCTTTATGGCTGCAGCTTTTGTGGCTTTCATCTCACGGGGGACTGCCTGTGCCCTATTCCAACTGCTTTCCTCCCTACAACACTGCTTGTTTCTTTAAACACTGATGTAAACAAGGGGTTTTTTTATATATTGTGAGCACGCAAATTATCAATCATAAATGCATATCTGACTTAATTTTGTAAATTGGAGTCCTGTGGAGTGAGAGACACCAGAAAAACCACCCGTATGATGTGGCACGTGAGTTTTATGTCAGCTGAAAGCTGTCACTTTGGTATTATCTCAAGTCTTTGGGCAAGTTTTTAAGACTGGGCTTAAAACTGGCATTTGGAGAGGTGTGGGAGGTTCTCTACTGTTTGACTTGATCAGAACAACTACTAGAGAGCCTGGTCTGCAGAGCTTCAGGTGGCTGCTGCTTAGAACAAACTTCAAAGTTACTGTCCCATCTGAGTGGAACTGTAGCATTGTTCAGGTTGGAAAAGACCTTTAAGATCATGAAGTCCAACACCCACCACGAGCTCAGCCCAGCCACACACAACCACTCTTAACAGAGAAAGTTTAAATATGTAGCCTAGGGAACAGCTCATCATTAAAGTAGGGAATTGCTCTGCGAGTGCCTCCTGAATCTCCATTCCATGCAGTGCCTCGTGGCAGGAGCACGAGGTTTACAGCAATGCCAAAGTAACGCAGAGGAACTGAAGAATTAAAGCAGGTACTTAATAGCACTTTAAAAGATGCTGAGGCATGTTTTAGTGGCTGCCCAGCTGCACAGACAGGCTTAAGGCACCTCATTCTTCCAGTTTATTTACTGGTTTGTAATTGTCTGGGAACGCTGGCTGATTCCTCGGTAATTTAAATTGCTAATGGAAGGCTCAGAACCCTCTGGACCATTGCTCAAGCCACTGGAAGCATTACCAAAAGGACAAGGAATTATCGGAGAAGTCCTAGAACTGCACAGCTCTTGCCATGCCCCTGCTCTGGCTTTTCCTTCTCCCTGACAGCAGAGGTGTGCCAGGGCCAGCCCCGAGGGCGGCTCCAGAGGAGGGAGGTCCCGGAGCCGGGACAGGCTCTGAGCCCCCACAGCACCCCCGGGGGTTCCCAGCCCTGCCCCAGCCCGGCACAGCGTCGGGGCGTCAGGAGCTGCCTGCAAACCTGGCACCAAGCAAACGTTAAGTTCTGTCACAGCTTTCCGAGCAGGGCATGTTGCAATCACGTGTAAACGAGTCTAGAAGAACGGTGGTTTTTCTCACGTACCGTATACAAACAGCATGTAATCCGCATGTGATTTCCCCACCGCGTTGGAAGCCTCACAGCGGTATGTACCATTATCTGTTTTGTTTAGGTTACTAATGAGAAGGTTTGAACCAGACACTACAACGTGTTGAGGCATCTCATCATCTACTCTTAACCACCTCATGTCCGTAGGCCTACAGAGGAGGGAGAAAAAGAAACAGTCACATTACTATTTTCCTATGGTCAAGATGGCATCTTCAATAGTTCATCCACAGACAGAAAGCCCAAACCAAGAAAAACTGTAAAGAAACAACACATACTTTTTTGCACTACTCAAGCCCAGATGCTGTCGGGCTTCCTCAATTTAAATTTATTTTAACCCAACAGGAAACTGTATCCAGACCTTAAATTTTCTGAAAACACTAATGCAAGCAGGAAGAAAGTTCATTAGTGGTTAATCATTCGCTTACTCAGCAAACCTGAAAGCTCTGAGGCTACAGACTGTGTGCATCCACGGGGTGCTCTGAGGGCAGAGCTGGACAGCAGAACAAGTACCATTTTGTCACATTTGAACCCTTCCACGAGCGCTGTGATGGACCTGGTAACGCCAGCGGGGGAGTCCCAGCCCTCCTCCTCTCCCCCAACCCCCCTGGCAGCCCCTTCCTGCACCCCCAGGCAGATGGAACCCATGTGAGCAGTGGGCCTGCATTGTTCAGGGAATGAAATGAGCCTCGTTTGTTAGAGCTGGTAAAGAACACGAGTGCTGAGGGGCTTGAGGGGGGTCTTTTTGGTTCGTGGGTTTTTTTTTAAAGTTGTTATTATTATGTCTTTAAGCAGCAGTAAGGGGACAGATCAGCTCTTCCCCAGAAAGAAAAATCCAGCATCCTTCAGGCCACTCAACAGTGAGCTCTTAAAGGGGAGTTTCCTGCAGCACATCTCTCAGCCCACCTGGCTCCAAGGGTGCCAAGTGGGACCTCATGCTGCCAAAGGTATCCTACAGCTTGGGTTTTTCCCAGGGTCCAAAGGGTAGGTGACTCCCATGACACAGAAGCTCTTGAAGCTTCAACATCCCAGCCATGGTGCTAATAATGCCAAGGTTGTGAGTCTGATCCCTGTACAGGCCATTCACTTAAGAGCTGGACTGCATGATCTTTGTGGGTTCTTTCCAACTCAGAATATTCTGTGATTCTAATTTCTTCTTTGCTGCTGCACCATTGGCACACGAGCCATGGTGTGGGCAGCAGAGGCTCCCGAGAGAGCCCAAATGCAGTTTAACCTCAATATGGGTGGGAAGGGTTTGGATGCTCCTGGCTGTGGATTTCAAAAGGCTCTTTGCACTGCAGAGTCCCCAGGTTTCCCAGCTGGTACACGATGCAGCAGCCCCTGCTCAGAGCTGTGTTTCCCTGGATGCCCCACAAGTGACCATTTCAGCATCCTCCCTCTTTTGTCATAGTCTTGGGGGGTTGTGTCTAATCTAACAAAATACCTCTGTTAATGCCAAATAGAAATTTCTCCTCCCTGGTCTTTTTTTCCTGAGCTTCCCTCCGCCAACATCTAATGTTGCCAAATTTTGCAGAGAAGTTATTTTATTTAACTGGAGAAACCTCCCCCTTCCTCTGAAACCTCTGTAAAAGATTTCATTAAATCTCTTTGTCTTAAAAACATGAAGCTAAACCCAGCCCATTATTTTACTGTATATTTTCTTAGCTTTGGGAGACCCAGATGAAGTGACCTAGAGAAGCCAATTCCCAGCACATCACCAGCATCACATAATGTGCCGTGGAGGCTGCCGGGGAGATGTGTCTGTCCTATTTAACATGGGAATGTCTTACTCATAGCCTGGAAGAAAAAAGTGTAGAGAAGCCTGTTCACGAGATTCCCAGTTGATAGCAAATGGGAGGCACTGCAGGTACCCACGGGAGCAGGAATGCAAAGGGGCTTGGCAGGCTCTGAGCAGGGAATAGCTATTAAATGGAATTCAGCAGGGACGTGCCAGTCTCTGATGGACAGGGAAGGAAGTGGCCTTGTGCCAAACAGAAGAAACTGGGAAGTGGGAATCAAGAAAATACTGTGGGAGGGGAGGTAGGCTACCAGGGAGGATGAGGGCAGCCTGAGCCTCCTCGGTGCTGGGCGCTCACCCTGCCTGTGTGGCCGAGCTGGGTGGGGTCCAGCTCCCTATGCCCATTGTGATGCCCCAGCTCTGGGCACGCTACCAAGGAGGCACTGACAGATCCCAGGGATGTTTGCAGAGATCTTATGGACATGATGAAAATAAAGAAGGATAGTAAATAATTGACAGCCATAAATCCAAGTGGAAGAGAAAGTATTTTAAAAAAAATAAAGCCGACAAAACTTAAATTAGAACAGCAATGAAAGTGTGGGAGAAAATCTACCCTCCCTTGCCAGGATTTTTCTAATGCATGAATTTCTTCAACTGTCTAAGAAAGCCTCAAGGGCTTGGCAAGAAGAGGAGAGAGAATAAAACTTGAATTCCATAAAAACCACACAGGGCACCAAAAGGGAGGAAAACCATCACACAGTCAGTACAAGCAGAAGGACGGACTGCCTTACCTGAGGATCCATCCCACTTCCCCAAGGGCTCAGTGCTGTGGTGACCTCCACGGGCCTCAGCAGCAGCCTCTGACCTCGCTTTTGCAGATTAACTGAACCCAAGATTAATTGCAGATTAATGCCACCCAAGCCATTCCCTGGGGGAAGAGGTGTCCAGTTGGGAGCCTTTCCCTTCTGCACTGGAGGGCTGCTGTGCAGTGGCCGGGAAGAGCTCTCCTAGGAGCTCTTCCATTGGAAATCCCTTGGCCATTAGGTACACAGGGATAAATGCAAATAAACCCAGATGTCTTTAGCACACAGCAGATGCTCAGGTGCAGGAAGTGTCTCTCCTTCACTCTGGGACATTGTCTTTGCAGCAGAGAATGGCAACAGCGGGGATGATGACGCCCCGTCATCGCCGGCCACCCCGCACCATCCCGGGGAAGGGTCCAACTTACTGTGGCTTTCCAAAGGCTGTGCATGTCAGCTCCAGCGGCTCCCCTTCTCTCGTCAGGCCTTGCAAGGGGTAATTCTGAGAAACCCGCACTTGAGGCTTATCTGCAGGACACAAAACATCGCTCTGTGAGCCCTCGGTCACGCCGGGGCCGCCGCCGCTCCCCCTCGCCCGCTCTGTGCCCGCAGCAGGAGAAGGTGAAGCTGGCGGCGCCTCGGATCGCACCACGGCACTTCCCAGGAAAGACATTTTGCTGCACACTTTATCTGTGAACTCGCTCAAGCTAAAAGGAACTCGTTTGCCTTCACACTGAGGTGAAGCGGTGCCCGGAACTGACAGGTTTTGTGGTGTATGGGCGGTTCTGGCACCACAGCACCCGGAGCCCACGGGTGTGAATACGCTGGGCTGGACAAGAGATGCTTGTTAGATACACAAACAGAGCCACAGCCACTGCTGCCTTTGTGTAAACAACAGGATGTTGTATTTTGTCCAGACGAAGCTCCTCTAAATCCTACAACAAACAGAGAATTAAAGCATGGATAGTTAGGGAGCCAATTCAAAAACACTTTAGAGTAAGACCCTGCAGGAAAAAGAAAAGAGCCAAACCGCAAACCTAGAGTCCACAATTAAAAAATTCATTACCTCCCACAACTGAAACAGAGATTAAAAACGCAATCTGAGCTGTAGCTAAAACGTTATCAGCGCAGGAAATCAATTCAAGGCTACAAGTGCCATTAAGCCATAGATATTTTTCAGGAATTTACTCAACTGTAAGGAACAAAGGAAGGCAAAAAATCAGTATGCATAAAGGTTGAAACCATTTAAATGTTTCTATTTCCTTTGAGAGTAACTGCTACCCAAAATATTGGCTGGCTGCATTTTATTAACTGTGTTTAACTCATTAACATGCCTCCTATGGAATAATAGAGATTAGGAAAAAAACCCTGCGTGTCAGGATTTAACCAATTTAAACTCTCATAATTTTCAGTAATGGAATAAGCTACATGAGTAAATCCTCTCCCGAGATGACTCCACCACAACATTTCATCAACTAATCCCCGTTACAGATGCTCCTCGCAGCTCTGGAACTGGGGTGTCCCTGCGGGCTGGGGGGGTGTCACCAGCCCCGAGGCCAAGTCCCAATCCCATGGGAAACAGGGCAGCCTTGGCGTGCTGGAAAGTGTGCTCCAGCCCTGGCAGGGATGTGGCAGCAGCACTGCACAAGGAGCACGGGAGGACGAGTCCAGCCCAGCCTTCCGCAGCCGGTAAATCACCCGCCGCATCCCCAGCGCTGCACTCGGGCTCAGCCACTCCCGTCCACAATTCCCACCCCCGGCCATCTGCTCCCCTCTCACGATGTGCTTTGCGGCAGCACCACCAGCCCATGCCAGGAGCACGGATACTGTTATAGTCATGCTGTGGAAGGAGCAGGAAACCTCCCAGTTTACCCAGCACACAGGGAATGCAGTGAGGAAGCTCTGTGCTTGCCTTTGCCGTTTGCCTCTCCTGCTGCTCCCATCCCCTTTCCATTAGCTAAGTTTTAGTATTTCTAATGAGTTGTTTACCACTGACAATTACTTATGGAAATCAGGAGGAATACACTGTACTCCTTGCTGTATGAAGAAGGAACTGCCAACTCTGTGAGCTCCCACCAAGCCAGGTGAGCCCTTCCACTGCCACTTTCCAGCCCCAGAGGCTTCATTAAACCAACAGTGGCAGCGATGTGGACCTGTCCCATTTGGATCTGGGCAACATCAAGGTGTCACTTGTAACAGAAATCTGCGTCTGTCAGCACATGTACCCACACTGGTGAAGCCAAGAGCTTCCCAACAGTTATCACAGCAAACGTCTCTCCCGAGTAGGGACTTGCCAGCACAGCAGGAATTACAGCAGGCACTTAGGAAAACATTTCCCAAGCCTGAAGGACTCAGAGGGATGGGTGGGCACTCTGGAGGACCAGCTGGCATTAGGCTCATTGCATGCAAAAAAAAGAAATTTCACCCACCAATCTGGAGGGGTGGTGGTGTCTTTCTTCCCTTTGTTTAAGGACGTGCCTTTCGACAGTCTTAAATTCTACTTCCACTGCTCACACCCTGCCTCGCACGAAGCGAGTGTATTTCCCTCGGATTATGGACTCGGAGAGCAGCTCTGTGAAATGCCGAGCGCTGTGGGACCCCCAGCCCGGCTCCTGCGCGGGGCTGTGACATTTACAGCGCACACGGGCAGAGCCCTGACGGTTCCAAAGCCTGGACCAGCCGTTTGCCACCGCTCTGTTAAAAGGGCCCCGTTCCAGCAGCAACATCTGTGGCTGTATAACGTGGGGCGACGACTGTCTCGGGTTGTGACACAGGATGCAAGGTAAGAAGTGGCAGTTTTTACCACCAAGTGCATTCCAGCAGCCCGAAATCTTCAACTTGGAACTTCATCACACCACACCACTGGATTACTACATAAAAATAAACACTTGCATCTATGCACCCAAGCCCCTGTGTGCTCCACGGCAGCCAATTAGACCCAACAACTCACAGCTATTTCCTACTACGCCTCTTTCTAGCGGCTTAAAAAAAACAGCCTCGTAATTTAATAAGGCACCTTTATTAAACTAAATTCATTCAAAAGCTCAGAGTGATATACAAGGTTAAATACCAGTCATCTAAAGGTTACGCTGTAGCAGCAACCAATTTGAAAAACTTATTACAAAGCCTTTCTGCATTTGATGAGATTTCTTGCACAACAGGAGAGGTGTGTGTGCCTGAGCATCGGGGACCACTGGGGAATGCAACACCCCCCAGAGGGACCATGCACCCCAAAATCCTCCTTCTCCCCTCAGGATGCCACTGGCCACCCCAGGCTGCACCTACTGCCTTTCACAGCTTTCAAGCTCCGTGGTCGGGAATTTACCAAACCACTCCAGTTATTCTGCATTTGTCCCAGTTCTTCCGTTTTTAGCTGCTCACCCCATTTCTGCACCATCAGCAAAGATTATTAACAGCGACTTTTTAAGAACTTCAAATACTTCAACTGAACAGCATCAGGCCAAGCACCCAGGCCCCTGAGTTCCCTCTAAAAATACCAGCACTGCTGATTACTCCCTAATGACTATCCTTTGAGATCTGCCAGTTAGTGATTTCTTAATCCATTTAAACATGTGCTTCATCGATAATGCTTAGATGTCATTAATCAGCCGAGATAAAATGTTACACTGAGTTTGGGCCCTTACAAAAGCCTAAGCCTATTATTTCCACCCGTTTCCTTTCATCAGGCCAACCCACGATCTTGTAGGTAGGAGAGCTCACCGCCCCCAAGCCTGGCAGCAGGAGGATTTGGCAAAGCTGGCTCCTCGTGTGCCTGGGGTACCACGGTGCTCCGGCTGGCACAGCCACGGGACCCTCGCTGACCACCAGACAATATGCTCCCTGCTGAGGCTGAACACAGCCAAAAAAAGGCTTCTCCCCAAGTGCTGCTTTGGGAAACCAGCACACAGTGTCTTCAGCAGTGCCAGACCCTGGCCAACAGAGAAACCTGCAACAAGGACTCTGTCAGGGATTCAGAGGAACAGGCTCTGGCCTGCACTGAGAGATGAGGTGCCGGGTCCAACTTTAAAATATGTTTTCTGATCCATGTACGAATTGCTGACGCGCCTCTTGGCAAACCCGGTGCCAGATGGCATCCCTGGGAGCACCATCCACAGGCCAAGCCGTGTTCCTGCCCACTGGAGGTAATTCCAGCCCCAGCATTTCCCAGATAATGCTTTACACATCTCCCTTCAGGTGGGCACTGCTTTGTCCAGCTCCTCATCCCTGCTCTGTTCTGTGCCCAAGGGAGCTACTCAAAAACCTGACTTCTGTAAGTCTCTGACCTCACCCGGGGCAGAGCAGGAGGAATGTGGTCTTCAATGCTAAAAGAAATCAGCAAAGTTAAGACTGATCTGCAGGTGTAAACACGACGGCCACCTCTATTCCAAATTCCAGCGGGGATGCTCATCAGGAATGCGCCCTGCGTCAGAGCCAGCCCAGCCCGGCAATCCCCTGCCTGCTCCTCACCTCTGACAAGGACGAGAGGCTGCACTGCTGATTTTCAGCCAAAATACAGAAATCTATTCAATAAATAGATCCCGTGTTTAAAATAAGGAACGAGCGCAGGACTGGCAGGTCACAACTTGTCTGGAAGAGCCTGTCAGCCCCAAACACGACTCCGCAAAATTCACCCTCAACAAAAGCAATTTAATCGCTTTGCTTGTCGCGGGAAAAGGAATGCCAGAGCCCGACAGGCATTTTGGGGATAAACACTTCTCTTTGAAATATTTAAGCACATGCTGCTGCTTAATGCCTGCGAATGGCAGAGCCCTGTCCGCCCCACACGCTCCACGCTCCCAACAACATTCCTCCGAGAAAACCTTATTAATGAGCTCGCAAACGAGCACCCAACTGGGAAATGTCACAAACAAGAGTGGCTAATGCCCCAGAAAATCAAATAACTGAACACTCGGCTGATTGTGGTGCTTTTCATATTCACTAAGAGAAAAAAAAAAAAAGTAGCTTTAAATCAAAGTTTTCTGAAGGGGTCAACACCTCACCGAACAAAACAACTCATTTATTCACTTTTAGCGATCTCCAGATGATAAATTACATTGATGTTAATCACTTCACTGCATACTACGCAATTAATATTTGCTCTGGATGGAAATGTAAGGATTACTGGAGATGAGGCAGCAAATGTATGCGGCCGATTTTAAACATAATTGGGCACAAAAAGTTCTTCCATTGCAACAGCAGAGGCTGTAACAGACTCCATCAGGGCAGACTTTAAAAGTATGTGTGTAAATATTATAAAAATGAATGCATGATTAATTATAACTTCAGAAAAGCACAAAAAGCCAACCCAGAGAAAAGGCCAAATCAAGGCTTTGACACTCACTTCCAGCACCACGTAATGAGAGAAGGAAACGCACTGCAAGGGCTCAACTCTCCCAGAATATCTGGTTCCATTCAATTCCTTAATGATATTTTAATGCATTTTGTTGCTTCATTTCCTTTCTAAAATTACACCCAACACACTGGTCTCCCATCGCTCACTGACAGATCTGAGCCACAAAAAGAGTGACTGCAGCCAGAACTGGGGATGTTTCCACACCAGTGCCACAGGGCTGTGGCTGTTCATCAGGCATGGAAGTGTTATGGCCACTGCAAATACACACCAGCCTTGGTCACACCCTGTTCTCTTTTGAGGAGCGTTACCAGGAGGGTTTCATGCACATTATGGTGCATGTTTGCAGAGCCTTCTTAACAATAACACACCCTACATCCACGTGGAAACATTTATCCTTAACTTCACCACAGGCCAGGCTGTGGCATGGGAGATAGGCAAGAAATGGCTTAGTCAATGAGTAGGGTGAGTTAATACCCAGCACTGCTGTTTTCTGTTTTTTTCTTGGAAAATAAACCCCACAACTTTTGAGTTGCACCTTAAAAAAAAAAATCTCTCCCTACTCTGAAATTTAGTCAGACAAAAAATACCTCATTATCTGAGCAGGCTCCATCCATCATCCTCCTGTTCTTCCCCAACACATTTCATGCTCCACTTGGATACATTAAGTGTAGAGAAATACGACGTCTACCGAGAAAAGCATTTTCCTGTGCCCTGCTGATGTTCTGAAGGGGTGGATCTGCTGTGCCTGTGGGGGGGCAGGCAGGATTTGTGGGGAGGGCATGTCAGAGCAGAGAGCTGAACACACAGCCCAGCTAACTGACCTGAGTGATGCCACTCCAGCTGCAAGAAAGGCAGCAACATCCACACAGGATGAGCAAGGAATTCCAGCTGCACTGCTGCAGAGACCTGGCAGCTGGGTGCCTGCAAGGTAACGTCCTGCTCAGTGGAAGGGCATGGACAGCAGCTGGAGGAGCATCCTCTGCTTGGACTGCACATCCCACACCTAAAAAGCAGCTGAGAATGGATAAGTCAGGCCTGGTTGTAGGAGCCCCAGTTCTCTCAGGGGCTGAGCCCAGCTCCATGGGAACACTGATGGAGATGCCTGTCCACGAGAACAAGAAGCTCCTCCTCCAGCCACACTCTCCCACTGGCTTGCGCATCATCATCTTGAGCCAGGAAAAGCTCAAGGGTAAGAGTTTGCTCTGAAACTGCCTCTTCTTCAAGTTGGGCCCCTCGGCAGGTATGAGATGCAGGTGTCTGGCTGTGCTCCAGCACGGTGGGTCCCAGAGCCGTTAATTGCCGGGAGCCGCGAGGTCACGGCTGTGACACCTTCCTGGGCTGGGGCTGTTCCAGCATCTGCTGCTGCCAGGGCAGGAACGGGCCGGGCTAACGGGGTCAGCTCCCAATATCTGAACATAATTGCTTTGAACAGGCTCAGAGTGTGATTCAGAACATAAAACCAAACCGTCTGAACACCCTGCTCATCTCTGTTCCCTTCTGAGGAGGCTCCAGGCCTCATTTCCCCAGACAGCTCTGGAACAGCCCAAGGGGATGATAAAAATCGGCGCTAAAGGCAGAAACCTGTGCAGGGGATGCAGCAGGACCCCCAGTGTGGGAGCTGAAGGCTGCAGGTGTCTGTAAGACACCCAAAGAACTGTGCTTTAGGGGTGCTTTGCCTGCATTGCACAGGGAAGCCCCTAAGGCTGCAAACCAAATTGACCAAGGAGGGATTTATCTGAGGAAGAAGAGAAAAAATACTTTTTTCTTTTTTTTTTTTTTTTTTTTTTTTAAAAAACAGCTGCCCTCTTCTATGCCACCAAACCATCATGATTTCAGAGGAAATCCTTCCTTGCTTCTGAAAGGAAGCCTCAAGGTTGTCTGATGCCCCTTCAACCCGGAGAGGTTCCAGTCCCTCTGCAGAACAGGGCAGATGGGATTTTTTGCTCTTCCCTGTTAAGTATTTGATCAAGCCTCACAAAGGTGCTAATGTATTATTAAAGCTAATGGAGCTCTACAAGAAATGTTAATGGACATTAAGTTTGCATAAATGAATTACACATTAGCACAGTCACAAGAAATCTCGTATCTGCCAATTTAGGCAGTATCTGATCATTCCTGTTTTCCTCATTACAGGAACATTACTTCCCGCTAGTTTTGGAGATATGAGAATTGTAACCAAGATGTTCATAATGAAACTACATAATGAAGCAGATGAAATAAATTAATACAAAACTTCCTCTTCTCCTTTCAACGTGAGGTAGTTGAAGGGAACCTACAAAAACAAGAACTTTGAATCATCTCAGCCCCCGGTGTTCAAAGCACCTGGTCCTGCTGCAGGGACTGTCCCACTTTGCTTCTGGGAGCTGTTTTGGAGCAGAGGGGCACGTGTACACAGCTCCAACATTTCCACTAACTGGAAGTCCAGCACAGCTATATTTGGGACCACAGGTATTTCCAGGTACCTGCTCAGAAACCCTGTTACTGTCACGTACAGTGGAGCAGCTCCTAAGGGAAGGGAGATGCATTATTAACACTGAACATGCAGGAAGCAGCACAAGTTGGCCTCAATCAGTGCTGCTACTGCAGATTCTGCAGAATTCCAGTCACTCTGTTGTACAAAACCCGTCGGTGCCGGATGTTCACAGTGCACAACACTGAGTTTCTTTTGCACAGTACCCAGTTTTTGCCAGTAAACTCACCACGGTGGCCAGTCGCTTTGAAGTGGGAGCAGAGAAACACTTTTCAAAGAGATAAGTAGGTTGCTAGAAGAAAAATACTCAGATTTAATCTGTTCTGACAATTATAAAGCACAGCCAGGAACCTTTGATGCAAATTCTACGTACAGAGAGTTATTTCTTCAGAGAATGAAGGTAAGTATTTATGGTATCACAGAGGGCTGGGAAAGTCGTGGCTTTGCCCGTGAAGTGGTACCAACAGTTTGGTTTCTCTTCTAAATAACACGATATAATCCTCACGGGCGCCGGAATTTTATCACGTAGCGAACGATTCCTGAACTCCCAAGTGAGCAATTTTATACATTAAGAGAATTAAAGGTTCTGCTACTCACACATGACTTCCAGGTAGCGCTGTGTCTGCAAGTCTTTGACCGCAGGGTGATCCACCAGGCAGATGACAGGGACCCCGTCGTCCTCCCGCCCCACCTTCAGCAGGAGCTGGCTGGTCACCGTGTACATGTCAGACCACTGCTCCACCTCTGACTTGCCTGAAGGAGGGGACAGAGAGAGTGGAGTGATGACAGGATGGAGCACCTGCTGCAGTCAGGCCAACTCCCTCCTGTCCATGTTCCCTTTGGACACACATCCCATCCTCCTCTCCGTCAGGTTCTGGCCAATTAAAGTCCACAGGATGTTACTGCAATGATTAACAATCCCCTTACGCCGTCCCCAAATCCCCACACTCTTAAACCAGTGAGCTACAAATCCCCCCCACTCCAACAATTAGCTACCAAAGTGATTGAACAGATTAAATTAATTAAAAGTAGTATTGCTAGGCAGGAGCATTTGCAGTGCTCTGTCTGAGGGAGGGAAAGGCAGTGCAGTGGGAGGGCAGCCCAGCTCCGGACCGGCTGCCCGAGGGATGCCAGCACAGAAACGAGCAGGATGACAACACGAGACAAGACAGGAGAAAAGGGATTTTTCCAGGAACTCAGCAAGCAGCCACTGACAGCACAGCTCTGTTCCAGTTTCAATGCTCTGATCTGTGCCTTTTTATTTAAGAATTCACAGGCAAAACACTAAGAGTTACTTCTGTAGCAGAGCTCTTCCAGACACCAAATATTTCTGTATAATATATGAGAGAGTGAAACAGGGGACAGATACAGACACACCCTGATATTTGGAGGAAAGGCTTTCCCATGGGCAAAGCCACAGTTCCTGTGATTCGTAACCCACAGCCAAGTGTCTCAGTCTCCCTAATTCTGCTAAAAAAAAATATCTGAAGACTCAGCAGGGTGAGTTGGGATTGCATGAAGCTCAGTACTCTTCCCAGAGAACAGAAAGCTGGGATTCAACTGCCAACATGAGAAAACTCAATCAAGAAGCTGGACAGGCCAGGCACAAAGGGACAAACACTTTGCCCTGCCATCCCCCAGGATGGGGAAGGGAACCAGAATGGGATCATTAACACCCTGCACACCACAGTGAGGGGACTCAGCAGGGCACCACTTTGTGTGGCAGCAGGTTTGCTGTGTGGTGGCCTGCTTGGATGCTCAGAAGTGTTGGACCTAAAGAGAGGATTCTATCCTGCCCTTGCAGGGGGGTGGGTTTGAAGTAATGAGTCTGGACTTCTCCGGAGAGCCCATCAGTGTCTCAGACTGGGTAAAGCACAAAGGTGTTGTCAACCAAGCTCACATCTACATGCAGACTTAAACTAACAGCATGTCACATGCAATCAGAGTCAGTGACTTGAATGTGCAAGTACCAGGAGCAACCAGACTTCAGGGAGTTGGAGAAACCCATCCTGGATGAATATTCAACTGAACACAGGGAAAACGCTCTATAAACAAGGGAGCCAGACGTGAAGGTGAATTGCAAATCCTTACAGCCCAAAGCGCAGACCATCCCTCTCAGACCTAAAAACAGGGCACACAGCTACACAAGCCACACAGAAACGAATTCAGTGCACAGCTCTGGGCTCCTCAAGGTCACCTGCAGTTACAGCAGGACTCCAGAACCCGGCACTCGAGGCTGGCAGGTAGGCAGAGGACCAAATGGAGTTCAGCCCCCTGCGTTAGGGAATAATCTGTCTGCCCACACAGTGCTTTGTTCCTCAGCTGGTGCTCAAAGCAGCTCGCTCCACTTTTTTCTTTTTTTCCCCTTAAACTGGTAGCAGAGAACAAACACCCAGCGTTACATAAAACACTTCAGCTCTCTGAACAAAGCAAGTGACTGAGAGGACACATCTACCGGTTAGCTCCTTGTTGCCTTTGAACCATCTGATGGTGGTGGCTGGTCTGCTGGCCATGGCAGTGCAGTTCAGCTCGATCTCTTCTCCCTCCACGGCGGTTTCTTTCTGGATATCAATTACCAAATTGCGTGGTGGGACTAGAATGGAAAACAACACAACACATACCAGATGAAATAAACATCTTTTGATCACTAACACAAGAGAAAACCTCGAGGAAAACCTGTAAAATCTACTGAAGGAAATGAGCAAACAGCATTTATTTGATCTTTCAATCAATCAAACCCTTTGATAGGTGGTTTCACAGTAATTGGAGTGAGCACTTTCACTCTCCACCAAATAATCACCGCAGTCTCACAAATTATTACTTATCAGGGTTTTAACTTTCCGTTCCCCCTCCCAGGCAGGCACCGTTCCAGGGAGAGCCGCAGCCTCCTGTGCTCCTCGGGTGTGTGCTGCTATTTAAAAATCCAGCTTGACTCCGTGCACATTTCCTGACTTCTCTGACAAGGACAGGAAACACAAAAGCTGACACTTGGCAGTGCATTACTTACCAAGCCTCTAACCTCCATAGCAATTTTTCTCTCCTGCTGTTCAGCTCCAAGGCTCAGCCGTGAGCATGGAAGCAGGCCAGCAAACATCAACTTCATTTCGGATGCTCGAAAAGCCACTGAGCACAAGCATAGAGTGGAATGCAACCACCTTGGGAACACCACTGCCTCCCACCACACTCCCACAAACCACCCCAAAACCACCCCAGCATGAGGAGGGAGCCAGCTCTGCACCCAGCCACAGGCACCACGTCTGATGACAAGTCCTTTGGGATGAAGATCTGCTGCTCTCCCATCTGCCCTAGCTCAAGACTGCCCCAAAACACAAAGCTGCAACAGTGTACTCAATGAAAAATCATCCAAAAATATCAAGAAACAGGCTGTAACTTCAGGGGGTAACAACCACTGCAGCATAGCCCAGAAATGGAACAAATGAGCTCAAAAATTACAACACTGGAATGAGGAACCTCTTCCCCATGAAAGCACCAGCAGCAAGGCAAAACCCAGGAAAAAGTGAACAGCGAGGCTTTGTATGGCAGTCATGGCTTCGGAAAATCCCAGAACTTCCAAAGGAAACTAAACTTTGCTCAGATCAATGTGATTAAGCAACTGCATAGTTCAGATGTGACTCACAGGTCTTCAAGCTAATGAAGAACAAATATGTATAAATACCATCCAGATGATCAAGTGGACTAATTAGTCACTTGTGGCTTTTCTCTAAAAAGAACAGAATGGGCTACATATTTGAGACTTTCACATGTTCCAATTAGGCAAGAATAAATCTACATTTCGTGTCACAGAAGACATGAAAGTGCTGAAGCAAACGCGCGGCTCCCTCCGAGCGCCGACTGCCAGGGGGATGCCTCGACACCTCACTCTGCTCTCCCAAGCCAGCAGCAGCAGAGGCAGATGAGCAAAATCGCTCTGGAAGAGCCTCAGATCTGGGCAACCAAAGTCTGGGCGATGAGCACGAGATCTCTGGCAGGGAACATGGTCCTGTGAGGACCAGCTAACACAGAAAACCACTCCTCTGCCCTGGCTCACTTCCTTCCCTAATTAGGGAGTCAGTAATAGGAAAGACAGGGAAGACGTGCTATCCTTGGTGTCACGGTGCCCAGTCTCTCCATACAAGTGCTAAGGCAAACTGTTCCCTTGTTCACCTTCTAATAATAGACCTTCCTCATCCTTGCCTGCTTCCTGAGCTGAGGTTTGACCTGAGCATGCAATGAAGGTGACGAGAAATCACCTGCTTTAGTGGTGTGGGGGAAAGGCAGCACACACTGGCCACGCCACAAAGCCTTCTCAAAAACAACTGAAGTACAAGGCAAGAAAACAGACTTTTCCCTCAGCTCTGAAGCATGATTCATGTTCAAAAAAAACCAAACCAAAAAAACCTGCATTATGTCTCCCACTTGAAAGACACGCAGTGCTGGCTTACAGGTGAATGAAGCGAGTACTCTGATTTCAAACACTTTCCTAGGTTGCCAGCAGTGAAACGAAATCCAACAAACTGTTTTTCCCTGTGTACGATTAAAGAGAGGAGCTGGAAGAGCTTCCCGTGCCTGTGAGCGCTGGAAAGCGCACAGAAACTTTGAAGGTGTTGATAACCACAATAGCTGGAGTAAAACTGCTTATAAACATTACTTAGCAACGTATAAAAACCTAAGACCCAAATCTCATTAAGCAAAAGAAGGAAGATTTAAACTAATCAGCAAGGGAGATCTTACATTAAGTCACCCTCCCTGATTCAGGTTCTCCCATTAATGGAGCCTTAACAGCCACTGATAATCGGCAGGAACTGCTCTAACAGTGGAGCTGCTGTCACTGCACGTGCCCGGCCTCAGCTCTCAGTGTCCAAATCCTTGCTTGAAATCCCTCTCTGGGCGGCTGCAGCTCTCCCAGCACCGCAGAGAGCCCCATCCCACTGACCCTGCGTGTCCAGGCACCACAAGGCCCCCCACGAGCCCCGACCGGGTCCTTACCGAGCACCGTAATCGTGGTGTATATTTCCTGGGGGGGGTCGGTGTAGAGCTGGCAGAAGTACCTCCCTTCATCAGAGATGGAGACGTTTGTCAGGGACACTCGGAGCTCGCTGTTGGAGAAGTTCACCAGCTGGAACCTGCTGTCCTTCAGGGCTGTGGGGCAAGCACAGCCTCGGTGACTGTGAGGAGAGATGCAGCATCCCCTTCCCACCACACCACAGTCCCAGAGGTCCCTACAGAACAGCAGCACATCGAGGCACCCCTGGGTTCCTGACCAGCTTCCATCCCACTTCTTACCTTGAAGTCAGACCTATAAAACCTTTCTGGTCTCAGATAATTTCAAATAATCAACACAAGCAAATAACAGGGCACAGCATCAAATCTTTGGACATGGTTTTATTATCAGAGGGCTTAGGGATGTGTTGGTAAAATGCTGATGGTATTTACACAGCCCTGTCACTGCCTAATGCACTCAGAGAGATCATGAACGAGAAAGGAATTGGGAGAAGCAGAGTTTAAAATTACTGTCCAGTAATGGCCTCCCAAATTCTTTTAAGAATTTGGAAACTGAGCTTTTAAAATGTCACCAGCCAAACACGAGGGCCTGGAACAACAGCAAACAGGAACGAGCCAGGCCCAGCCTGTCTTTGTGGGTGGACCATACCCACATCAGAAGGGCACAGGGTTTGTTGTGTCTCTCCACAGTGCTGGGCACAGGGTACAGCTGTGTCCCAGACCCACAGGGACATTAACACAGATCATCTAAACTGTCTCACTGCAGCCACTGTGGCATTGCCACCACTAGACAGAAAGCCAGGCTCATTCACTGGACGTGCAAGTGACGTGAGAGTTCGGTTTGGGTATAAAACAGCACAGATTGTCCTGAAATTCTCAGTCTTTGGAACGGAGAGATTACCTCTGAGAACATTGCGCTGTCTCGGTGTCGCCCTATTCAATTTGTTTGTGTCAGCTAAATATTTGGCACTCAATTGCAATTCACCCTGAATTACGACAATCAATTCCTATTGCAAAGTAAGACGCTCTGACTTTTAGAGGGGACCGTGAAGGTTTCCATTAAGGAGAGAGATTATGATTCTCTGTCTCACCTACCTCCACAGAACCAACTGAACTGTAAGTGCCCAGCATTACCCTAACAGGAGACACCTCTGCAAACGCCGTCTCCTGAGCGCGAGTGAGGTGCAGAAGTCGTAATCAAACGAGGAACAACAAACTTACGCCTGAAGTCTCTGAAATAGATGGTCTGCCTGTTGGGGTTCAGGAGCTGGATCACCGAGTCGTCGCTGTTCTTGACGCGGCAGCTGATGGTGGCAACGTCCCCCTCCACCACTGTCACATCCTCCGTCACCAAGTTCTGACCATCGCCTGCAGGACAGAGCAAAGGCAGAACTCAAGGTCAGAAATGACACCAGTGAGTCTCATTTGGGAATGAAAACCTCCACTGACACCGATAGAGGAACACTGGCCGGCGAGCCCTCGGCTCTGGGTGGCCAGTCAGCTAGCCACCACTAAATTACAGAGGAGCAATGGGAAGGGGACTCTGCCATGGGAATAGTGGAACAAGGACTACTGCCACGCATTAAAACACCAAAAATTCGCTTCCCCTCTCAACAGATGAATTTTGTTAAATTACCTTGAAAGAACAACTCGCTGTAAGAAGCACTTATCCTCTGACTGGAGCAGACAGACTTCAGGGAATCAGTCGTTACTCACTCTGTGTAATCAGGAGGTGCTATTAATGTCCAGAGGCAGGAAAAAAAAAGGATCCCATGCAATTATGCTGTGGGAGCCTTGTAATCATTTACAGGTCATCACCCCAAAAACTCTCCTCCTAATGAACCGAATCAGTGCATCACCCGCACGCTGAGACGTTCGCCTCCAACACCACAGAACACAGGGGAGGGGAGGGGAAAAGCACTTTGCATTTCAATTTTTCCGTAGCTATTGGGAATCAAAGTGGGAGAAATGTTGAGACTTTGATTGCCAATTTGCCAAAAGAAGTGCAGGTACACTAATGGGCGCCTGGCCACGGGCTGACGGTCAGGAGCATCCTCTCCTGCTCCACAGCTGCCTGTGCACAGGGAGTGGCAGGAGACAGCCCAACTTCCACCTTAGCCATGAGAAAGCCAGGATTTGGATAAAGTTTGTGCACAGCAAATCTGGGGATGGTATTCATACCCCAGTTTTCTCTCATCCTGCACTCTTCTCCATTTTTTTTTCCTTTCTTTCCAACTTGAATTCATTATTTGACATCCCTTGTAAACTAATGTTTGACAAAAAGATGCAATGTTTGGAGAGACTGATAAACCATCAGACACCTCTCCACATCCAATGGACACCGAGCTGAAGTCTGGGCACATTCTTCTGCCTTCCCAGCACAAATTTTGTTTCTCCAGATTGATGAACTTTGAAGTGTAACAAGAAAAGTTATCGAACACCTACATTGGAGCACAGACCCCCCCCTGCAACAGGGGCAAAGAGCCTGTCCTGCACATCTGCCTGGTTCCTGCTCCACGTTCTCTGCATCAGGATGAAGCTGGTCCAGCTCCATGCCCTCAGAGCAGATGAGCATCCAGCCACCCCATCACGCTGACAACACCCTTAACACAGCCCTCTTGAACCCTGAAGACAAGTGGTCTTGGCAGTCCTGGGTTTATGGTTGGACTTGATCTTAGAGAGCTTTTCCAACCTAAATGATTCTATTCTGCCTGTGGGGACAGGTTCTCAAATCCCAAGGGCCATCACAGCAGAGCTCTGCCACTGCCTGTGCCACATCCCATATCCCCACAGCCAGGCTGTGGCATCAACGAAATCAAACATCTCAAAAGTGGTTCATGCAAAAATATTAAACATTACTAACTACTTCTGGGGAATAATTTTATCAAACCCATTCAAAACAAGGTTCTTGCACAAGGATCAGCTTGATATGTTCTCATAAACGCAATATTCCCTACAAATCATTAACAAAGCTATTAAGATTCGATTTCCATCTAAGCAATTATTGCCAGCATATTTTTTTACATTTACTTTAAAAGACTCAATCCTATTTTCAATTCATTAAACTGTTCCTTGCGTTTACTGAATTTTACATCAGCTTAGAAGACTATCTGAATTAATAAGAATTACAGTAGAAGTAATTTAGAAATAAATTATTTGAAGTTCAAGCCACTGAAGCTTTTCAGGCCAGGATGCTGCATTAAACCTGCCGATGGATGGCTGCAGAGTCCAGCACCTCGGTCTGGGCTGGCATCAGTTCCCTCTGAAGGAGGCATTTATCTGGGTTAATGACAGGCAGGGTGCATGTAAGGACACGCTGAGCCCCCCCTCAGCCTGGAGCAGTCACAGCCTGCTGGGCTTTGCCATTTATTCTGAATCAAAGGGTGTCTAATCCACCGCTGTCTGCTCCGCTGACCCAAACGTGGCACCAGCACATACCCCTCCAGATCTGGGGTGTCTGTGCTCCCACCTGCTCCTGCTTACCAAGACAGCAAAGTTATTTCCACGAGCAGCGTCAATTACTAACTCCAAATTAAATAAAAATGCAATGCAAAGTGAGAACTCTTTAGACCCATCCTCACGTCAACACCTTGGGAAGTTTCTCCGTAAATATTTATTGTCAGTATATAAGTATTTTGAGGAGCATTAAAGTAGACACATCTAGAGCATGACAATATTTTGGAACAGAAAAGGACAGACTGGGGAGGGGAGATGGAAGTTTATGGACCCAACGGGGAATTTCAGAGCTGAGAGAAGCAAAAGAAGGTTACTGTTGAGAATCAACTTTAAATCCTCTGGCAAGGCTTTGAGGGGGCAAAGCACGAGCAGATATAACAGGAAAAACCCCAAGAGAATTGCATGGGTCAGATTTTCATCTATAACACGTGAAGGGACTGTGAAAGCCCCTGTGCAATGTCCATGTATCAGACCAAAACTCCCTACTGGCACTCCAGTACGAAGGACAAATCCTCACCCCAGCGTGTGACTGACTCCAGCGCATCTCACGGAATTCCGCAGCCGGAATTGGGTGTGTGCAGGGCAAGGGGGAGGGAAAACGCCCTGTGTGCTTCCTTCATTACCCAAAGCAACTCTCTGGCTTCATTCACTGAATCTCCCTGTGCAAGGTGAAAAACGACATCGTGTTTTATACTTACTGGAAGGGGGAGTGAGGCGGGGGAACACAACGCTTGAGGGACGCTTTGGCTGCAACCTGCACAATTAATTTCTGCACTTGTCTTCCTGCCTTAGACCACTGCAGTCTCTGCTCTTAAGGCTGCACACAGACACAGCCAAGTAAATTGTGTTTCAAAAGTTCCCCTCAGCTGGACACAGCCCAGGGACCTTGGCTCACATGCAGCGGTCACATTTAAAATCAATTCTCTCTCCGCTTGTAGCACACCGGGGTACAGGGAAGCGCCAGGGAGAGGAGAGGGAAAGATTAAAAATACGTGCTGGGGAGCACGATTCTTCAATTTCTACGGAATTTCTAAGCAAGCCCGAGCCACAGGTATCCCAGTGTGAGCAGTGGCACTGCTGGCTCAGTCTGCGGGATCCCGACACAAACGCTTTCCAAGGAAGGGGAGTTCTCATTACACCTGAACTATGTAAGCTGGTAAACCTAAACAAAATTCCTCTTAATAAATTGAGTCAGAAGAAACAACTCACACAGATACACAAACTGTCTATTCACACACTCGAGGAAAAAAGCAGCACAATGTTCCACGCCCAGAATTAACACAATTTGAATGTCAACACTCATCTATCAGTTTCAGGGACCTAAAAGGAATGTGGTGGTTAAAGAACCAGCCAGAGCTGACACAAGCAGGTTTACAAACACTGAGCATCCTCTTCCCCCAGAAGCTTTGTCTCCTTCATGTTTTTTCTCTTGGCTGACCAGATTCTCTGCTCTCTCATCCATCACAGAGAGCTTCATCTCCTCCCTTTAACACAATCACCACAACTGGTGTTTTGGGAAGAGCACAGAAACCAAAGAGAATCTTGGTCGTGATCAGATACAGGAAAAAGGAGGAAACTCAATTGCCATTTAATTACTCTGCAAATTTGCTTCTAGGAGGGAGAGAAGAACAGCCAAGGCAGTGCTGGGAGAAGCTGCTGGAGCTCCACCCACCCAGGCTCCAAGTCTTGAGAGACTGTTTTACAAAGCTGCAGTCATCACAGTTGAACTTTGGAGAGGAACGGACAATCCACACTGATTGTGCTGGCAAGAAAAGGCAATTGCTTTTGAGGGAGTTAATTTCGTGCCATCTTTTCACGGGCGAGAGAATGGCAACAATTTGGGACCAGGTTGCCCACAAAACACACGAACAGTGGCCGTGGCCTGCAGTGCACAAGGGCAGGGCTGCAGCTGGAGGGTCCTGTGCCGGCACACACGGATCAGGGTGGGCAGCGACGCTTCCAGCCCGCACTAAAGCCAGCCTGTACTCCTTGAGGTGTGTTTGGGGCACACCAGGACAGGGCTGTTCTCATCCACTCGCACAGGGAAGGTTACTGTGAAAGGTTGGGGTGAAGGGAAGGCAGGAGAAGAGGCAGCCTCCTGCTCCTTCCAGCCATGCACAGTCCCCAAGGGAAACCCTCCAAGGCCACAGAGCCTGGAGCCAGACCTGGCACCTCTGAGCAATTCTTCTGTCAGTGTGACCCTCACCCTCAGAGGAAAATTTTGTTTTCCTTTAAGATCCACAACTAACCTTTTGAAACAGCAACTTTCTCTTCTAATAAGATGTAATTACCAGCTTTATGACCCCGAGTCAAGCCTCTCTGAGATTTTCCCAGAATTCGAGTAGCTCTTATTCTCTCTTCAGCATCCTCTCCATAGCCAGCAACAGACTCAGCAACTCCAGTTCCCAGGCAAAAAGCTCTTAAAAAAAAATAGTAATAGTGGCAAAAAAAAAGATTTCTAGAAAAATCTCATTTCTGAGTTTGTTCTATGCAAGTCTGTCAGCTGCAACACATGGCTGGGGAGTTTTGCTGAACACCAAGAGTAACAGGTTCTATCCAGGAAGGTGCAGCTGAGCCAAACCAGGCAGAGCTTGCTCAGTGACATGAAGGGAAGGGATAGGGCAACTCCACGTCTCTCTCTGGGAGCGACTACAGCAAATTGAAATGGTAATACTCACCTGGTATTCAGATTTTTACTTTCAAATTTAATGCATGTTATCATTTCTTTATTGCTGCACCAGGTTTAAAAGAACTGCTTTGAGAAAGGGCACTGCTGCTGGATGATTCTGCTGCTGCCAGGTTTGGGATCACCTGGTGATGCTCAGAGCATCAGTTCCTATTTAGGGGGGGGAAATGGAGGGGTGGGAGGAATTATCATTCACAGAACCTATTCCCAAAACATTACTATGGTGGATCTGTAAACACAGATGGCTGATGGCCAAGGCAGTGCACTGCCAGCAGAGGCACGACTCCCTGGTGACCTACAAGGTATCAGAGGTGTCAGCAGAGCCAAGACAGACACTGGCCTTGCCCTGTGTGCCCACAAGCAGGGGCGGTGGAAGACGCTTCCCACTCACTTGCACCTGTTCCACACGTGGCTGCCATGCTGGGTGGCTCTTCCCACAGGCTTCACCACCAAACCCAGGGCAAACAACGTGTACACGTTTAAGGACAAGCAACCATGAGACCCAGGCAGATCCCACCCCTGATCCACGCACAGGACCAGCTACCACAGGGCTCCTGCTCCTGGTTGTGTTGAGCCTCCCTGACGCTGTTTGCAGGAACAGAACCGCTCCTGCTGCTCGGCATCCTCGGCGCCAGGATCTCATCTCCTTGTCACAGGCTGTGCTCAGCCCCAGCAATCACAGGGACCTATTTCCCCTCCTTCTCAGCACATATTTTCGCGAGCGAACGCTTTCGGCACCTTTGCGCGGCGCCCGCCCCGCTCCCCGCTCGCACCCGCCGCAGTCACACTTCCCCTGAATTACTCTCCGCATTCAGAGGGAATGTGCAAGATGGTGCTAAAAATTACTTATTGTGGGGAGCGAGTTTACGCTATGAAACAGCCACTTCAGAGAAATATACTGCAAATTCAAGCGAGTTGTGCACAGATATTAAATTTGTGGAGAAAAGAAATGCCGCTGCCACCTTTATGGCTTTTCTGGCTTAAAGAGTAAGAATAAAGGATGACAATAGCTCTGAAATTACACTGGAGGCTGCACTGACTTTAAACATAGTGAATATCTGTGTGATGCAATGGCATCGGGGAATTCTTTCCACTGGTTTGAAACCAAAACGGTACAGGGACAGAAATCCTGTGCTATGACTGAATTAAAATATTTCTCTGGACCTTAGGAATAAGATCCTTTTTTCTGCCATGAAAACCTCTGGGCAAAGGGTTTTCAGCCTGAACTGGTTTCTTCAACCCCCCTCGCACTCCTGTCGTCGCGTCCGCGCAGATTTATGATCCGTCACCTGTGCTGGGATTAGATGTCACCCTTGTCTTTCTATTACCCAGATATTGATAGATCAAACTCCCCGGCCATACATCGCCTGTCCCTTCAAAGGTTACCGTCGGTGGACACCGAGGATCAATATCCATCTGCTCTGTCACCGACCAGAGGGGACACGGCAAATGCTGCACCGGGAGCCCGGCGAGGAGGCATGGCAGCAGAAATCTGTTGCTCTGCACATCTCAGGTTTTTATCCCACATTTCTAATAAATCCTGTGATGAAAAGCAAATTACCACAATTGCCAGAAATTAAGTCCTTCAGGATACAACTGTATTTCAAGCTAATGGGACTGAATCATTTGGAGGAAGAATCCTACGAGTCACACTCACCACAGTGGAGCTTCTGTTGTCTACAAGCACAGCGACACGTCTTGCTGACATGGCCAGCATGGAAAGCTGTGTGGGTCATTTAGAGCTCATTTCTTAACCCACTGGACACTTCTTAAATAAAAGATGTTGCTACAGCAGCTCTTTATTTTGTTAATATCTCTCTACCTACCTACAGAGGGATGCTCAGTTTCAGCAACTTTCCAGAAGAAGAGTTTTAAGAAAGAGAAGCAGCTGATCTCTTGCTTTCTTTCTGGAAGTTGATGGTCCATTGCCAAGACAGTAAAGGTCACGTACTAAAGACTGTCCTGCTCCCAGAAGGTCAGAGGTTTACTCAGGTGTCCCCCCAAGGACTCTGGTACGAGCAGCTCCTCGGCTGCTGCACAGCAGGGAGACAGAAGATGTTTTTGTGGGAGGATCTGAGAAGGGCAGGCTGCTGAGAAAGCACTCGATGGATGCTGTGGGTTCTGAGAGGGCTGTTGGGGGACATTCAGGGGCAGAAGCAAGAAGAGTGCAGAGGAGAGAGCAAATAGGCAGGAAAGGGCAAAGCTGTGCATGGCCTCAGAAGAAATACAGTCAGGGACCTTTGCCTCATGTTCCTCCTGATGCCTGTCCATCACTACCAGCCATCACCTGCCAAGGACACCACCTAAAATCCACCCCTGCCATGCCCCCACCACTGCTCAGAAGCAGCATCAGCAAGGGAGAAGGTTTGACAACACAAGACGGTCCCAGCAGGCCACTGCTTCCATTCAGTGTGTTTAAATAACACAGTTAGGATCAACACACATTTATTATTAATGGTGCCCTAATACAGAATTCCTTATCTGCATTTTATCTTCCAGCTACCTTCCTACCAAGGACACCCACAGCCCAGATCCAGGGAAGGAGACCTTGATTAATCCCGAGTTTCAAACACAGGTGGAATTTCCTTTCCCTGTCATAAGCTGCTCCATGGGGAGCTGAACCCTGATGTACAGCAGGTGGCTGCAGGTAAGAGGAGGGAGCACTGATGAAATACTTGGTTTTCACCATCAGTGAGCATGTTCAATGCATTTCCCTGACCAGAACAGTGTTGTTTAACAGCACCTGCTGCCTCACACTCCTTTCTGTCTCTGCCACATGGGTAAAGCTGCAGCAGCCCCTGCCAAAACCTGAGCACAGGAGGAGAGAATTTACACGTTTGCAGGTTTGTCACCATCACTGTCACCTCTGGTTTTGCCCTGCAGTGGCCAGCAGCAGCCACCTGCCTCGCACTGAGCATGGCACTGCTCACACCCTGAGCTGGGGAGGGAGCTCCCCATCTGCTCCCTGTCCACCTTCCCCTCAGCCGACAGATCCACGTTCCTGCAGGTTCACTTGGGGACAGGGCAGGGGATTGTCTCACAGCATCACCCACAGACCATCCCTCCCAGGGACCCCCCCAGCCCACGCCCGCACCCCCAAACACTGTCACCTCCAGGGGCCCTCTGCCCCCTCCAGGGGCTCTGGGACGGTGTCACTGCCACAGCTGCTGTGGGACACTCTCGATGGATCTGACAGCACCTGTCCCACGTGCACCCCCAGAACTCCCATCAGCCAGAGCGACAGGGTTTCCAGCAGCACGGAGTCCTGTTTCAAGTCAGATGATGGGTTTCGTTGTACTCTAATGAGCAGATATGTCTTATATCCATACCTGTAACCCATTTTTCTGGCAGATTTTTTCACATCCTTTTTATTTTTTACTGTCAGTAGCATCTGTCACAACGTGCAGCTTAATAATCTTTTTTAAACCCAAGAAATCTGTATTTCCATAAAGCACCCACGATGAATTCTGATCAACATCAGCCCAGTCTCTCCCCTACAGAAAGGACCTCCCTTCACCACCTGCATATTTAAGTCTGAAATCTTTAGTTCACCACTGCAATAAGCAAGGAGTAAATGACAAAATTAATAACAAATGGGCACACCTTTTTGTTTTAGAGACCAGAGACAAAATCTTTTGTCAAAGAGCAACAGACCCCCATCAGCGACAGACGCTGCCCCCAAAAACAGGGCGAAAAAAATCTCAGCAGCAGCATTACAATCAAAGCCAGGACTCCTTCCAATTTCTACTTCCCAGGAAGGATAAAAAGGTATAACAGAAGTCTTTAGTCTAGATCCCAGATCAGACACGATGATGAATGCTCGCCTAAAGGGCAACATATTTGTAAGTTTTAAGTCTCTTGCAACACCAACTGTCCTGATTCATCCCCGCGATAAAGGCAGCTCTGAGAGCTATTTTACCATATTTATTATTTTACAGAGGAGGAAGAAAAAATGTGGAATCAGCCCTCAATCTGCCACCCCTCGGATTTATAAATGTTAGTGTAGGACCAGCACTAACGTCTTTAAACATTAATCTCCTCACTGCAGATCCTGCACGTCCCCCTTCAGCCTCCGCCCGGTGGCTCATCCAGGCTGGGGGAAACAAAATTCATTTTGGTAGGTTTTTTTCCCCTTCATCTATGGGATTTGCTTTGACTAAACCCATGAAAAGAAGAGAAAGGGCAGATGCTCCTGAACACATTCCTGCCTGCTGTCAGTGCTCTGCCAGCTGAGTGGAAGGCACAAAGCTCTGCTCCAGTGTTTATTTTTAAAGATGCAGCTTGCCTGATCCACACTCACTCCTCACGCCTTGTTTTCAATAGAGACTCTGTTCTCTTTGCTGGCTGCCAGGACAAAGGCAGAGCTGAGAGGAAGGGAAGAGAAACCGTGTTCTGCACACGAAAATAAACCCTTGGGTTTATAAACTGTTAGCCCAATTCCCCTCACTGCCTCTGCAGGTGCAGCAACATGACCGTGAGGTACACTTCCAAAAAACACAGTCATGATGAGAGAGAAAACAACTTTGGATGTGGTCCTCACCCAGCCTTCCTCAAATCTGCACCCAAAACCCCCCAGAGGCCCACCCCATCCCAAGGCAGGCACACCAAGCACAGCACTTTTCTCTCAGCAAGCTCTTTGTAAATTTTATCACTTATTTCTTGAAGTTGCAATTGCCTTTTAAAATTAGATTGTATTTAGTTTTTAATTAAATCGTCATCGTTGTACAAAACCCCACAGGCCTTGAGGTTTAGATTGTCATTTTAAACAAAAGTAAAATGGTAAATGCCTTTTCCATCCAACACCATTAGGTATAATTAAGCAGTGGGTAAAGCATACATCGTGCTATAAATGCCATTTAGTTTTACAGTGAAACTCATCAACATTTATCAAAACACTGCCTCAAGAAAGAACGAGACAGCTCCAGCGAGTGACTTCCATCCACTGCTGCCTTTGAAGCAGCTGCTCCGAGGCAGAACTGCAGCAAGAATAGCCTTCCCATTCCATATTTTCACATTTCTGGCTGAAACATTAATTTTTTGCCACGTCCCTGTTCGCAGTGGGATGGGTGGTGTGTGACCATCGTGCATCAATGCTCAGGAAGGGGCTCCTGGAGAGCCCCAAGGGCAGGGGCAGGACGAGCAGCCTCAGGCAGAGCCCTGTGGGGGTCCCACCTACAGCCCCACGGGCACTTTGTGCCGGGTGCTCCCCTGCCCAGGGTGCTCCCCTGCCCAGCTGGCACACAGAGAGGCAGGAGGATGCTCTGGGCTCAGGGAGTGTTGGCAGGAGCGATGCGTCCTGCTTTTGCTCATGAGAACCCTGGGTTGTTCCAGCACCTTCTGCTTTGCACCCACTCAAGCTCCACACCCCCACCTGCCAACACGGAGCACGAGGTGACACCAAAGCCTGGGGCCGAGGGGTGTTACACTGGGGGCAGGACTGTGCCCCTGCTCCTCCCCACAGACAGCGGCCCTGTCACAGCCCCACGGGGACTGGGCTGCCCAGTGGATTCACAGCCATCCCCACAGCCACTGTGCCACAGTGCTCCTGCAGGTGGGAAGGCTGACAAATGGCACTTCATTCCTGCTTTCAGGTGAGGTGCCTCTGAGCTACCGCCAAAGGGACGTGAACTGTAAAGAAAGACAAACACCAGCCCCGCGTATCACCAGGCACTGCTGCTGCTTTAAAATCTCAGCATTTCTTGTTTTCTCACGAGAAGCATTAAAACAGTCAAACTGAGCCCATTAGAAGCAATTTTCAATTTACTGCTCCTCCTTGATATCCACACGGTAAACGCCAGCAGGCACCGGCTCCATCAATAGGGATCCAGGCACCCGGGTGCCCGTGAACGCTCCGAGTGCCTGACGCTGCAGCTTCAGGCACAAGGCAGAAAAACAGATTCGAAATTGATGTTTCATCATTACCCATCATTAAAAAATTATGCTGTTGTACAATCTCAGAAGCAGCAAGGAGCGAGCGTCGAATGCCTCCGCAAGTGTTATTCGTTCTCCCTCCCCGCCGCGGTGCAGGGGGGTTTTTGGTGCAGAGGGGTTTTTGGGTGATGAGTGTCTCTCCTCCTCCTGCTCTCCCCAGCACCCTGAGCTCCGGTGCCACGGCTCTGCCGCAGCAGCAGCCGCTCTCTGCTCTGACATCTCCTTCCTCCGTGTTGGCAAGGCAACAGGAGCACAGGGCTTTGGGGAGCCCGTGGCTGCACCCAGAGAGGGGAGAAGGGAAGGGCTGCAGACACCCAGCAACGCCCCAAACACCCACACCTGGACCCTTCTGGAACGGTCTGAGGCTGTTCCCAGCATGGGGCTGCCACAATGCTGCTGGGACCCAGAGAGCAGCCGTGACCATTCGGAGCAGCCACGGGAAACTGTCCTCAGCCCTCCCTGGAAACCACCCACACTGCTACAGTCAGGGCTGGGCCAGAACTCCAGCACCTCCTGCCCCAGCCCCTGGCTTACAGGTTTGCCCACACTGCCTGTCTGCAGACAACCATTGCAATGGGACACAGGCTGGGCACAGCAAGGGCCACAAAGCAGAGGTGGTATCAAGACATGACAGAGCCATGCAGTGCTTGCCATCTTTGGGGAAACCCCCCATAATCAGTGAAAACACCCAAGCAACTCATTCTTCCCCCTCCCCTTTTTTTTTTGCCTTTTTCTGGTTCTCAAGCAAGTATTTTCCATCTCTTATGTTCTCACACACCCATGGGAAGCCCTCACTGGTAATCCA